CTTAGTCCGTGGCCTGGAGCGAATTAGCTACTGTGGAGCAGAGGCCAGGTCTGCAGAAGTGGGGCTCTCTGAGAGCGGCCAGTGTTTTCTCTTATTATTTCATACTTTTCCCTCTCTTTGTGTTTAAGATAGTTCAGTCACAGGTAGGGCTAAGGGAAACCAAAGAAAAAATGGTGCGTCCGCGCTTGGGCTGCTGTATTTAAGGAACAGGCTTGGGGAAAGCATGGGGGGTGACAGCAAACACCAGAGTGACACCTCCAGTGAAAAGGGCAGCTGAGGGGCCAGAGAGAAGTCGCCTTGGTGCTTCGTGCTCTTTCCACACCGGGAAGCAGTAATGACAGGTGACTGTCAGCATGCACAGGGACTAGACTTCCAGCCCATCTGAAGTTTCCATGCCCAGAGCTGGTCTCTGCCCCCGGACATCACATTCTACCTCAGAGAAGACTGCTTTCCCCGTGTCGCCTGGGAAAGGATTTTGGCCAGGCAGCCAAGGCACATTAAAGTAGCTAATGACCTGGTGATCCTGGTCAGTTTTCAAAACACTAGAAAGCAACCTGCAAAAATGCTGAATGCTAAGCAGAATAAGCTGACAGTGAAGCTCTCAGCTCAGCTCTGACAGTTTAGTTTACCAAGATCTCAGCTAGGCCCAGACCAGTGACGAGGCCCAAAGGCCAGACCTCATCCAAAAGTTAAATCAGGCTTTCTGGCATGTTTGCACTGCTCACTGGCTTCACAGGTAGCTGTGATACACAGCCAGGTGTGGGAATCACAGGCCTAGCACAATTCCACCGAGAATGTTCCAGGCCTCTCCCACAGAGCTGAGTCCTCCCAGGTACCCCCTCGGACAGCCCTCTTAGAGAGGTTATACTCGGGGGATGATGCGATATTGTGATTTATAATAAGAAATATACATATTTCCAGGCCTTTGCTTCCTGGAATGTTTAAAAATGAAGATAAGGTCCTGATTGGTGTGGCTCAGTGGGTTGGGTGAGTCCTGCAAAGCAAAAGGTCGCCAGTTCGATTCCTGGTGCGGGCACATGCCTAAATTGTGGGTTCAGTCCCCAGTTGGGGCGCGCATGAGAGGCAACCAATTGATGTTTCCCTCTCACATCGATGTTTCTCTCCTTCTTTCTCCCTCCCTTACCCTCTCTCAAATAAATAAATAAATAAATAAATAAATAAATAAATAATTTTTTTTAAAAAAAAGGACTTTAAAAAAAGTGAATACAAAGACAATGCTTATGTACTCCTAATAGGCCCAGCTGTGAAGGAAAGAACTAGTCCTAAGAATGCCAACTAGTGGGGTAATAAGGCACCTTCTTTGGGTCTCAGAAAAACAGGTCCCCCACCAGCTCAGCCTGCCTACCATGGTAAACAAAGTAAAACAAATTTCTGCTTTGTCCTGAAATCCTGCTCAAATGGCAGCCAATGACAATGATAAAATGGCCAGGAAAAGAGACAGAGGCTAGAGATGTCAATAAAGTTTTAGAAGAGGAAAAGCTGACAGAAGAGTGCTCTCCGACATAAGGAATGGAGAATGCTGAACCCAAAGCACTCAATGAAGGAAAGTCAACTAGAAGAAGAGCAGTCCCACCCCAGGACCCTGCTAAGGGTGGGGATCCAAGACCCCAGGGGTCTCTCTGAAAGAAGGGCTCTGGAGTGGGGCTGAGATCAGAAGGACTGACTGAGCATCTGGATACCAAGCCACCCCCGATCCTGAAGTTTTACTCTCTGTACGGCCGTCCTCTACTCCTGTCTTCTCTCACACCGCCAACCTCAGATCAGGCTGGCTCCAGCTTCAAATACATCTAGAAAGATCTGCATCCCTTGCATGACCCTATCTTCCACTCTTCCCTCCCACCATTCCAGCACCTTCTTGCAGTTACCTGAACACGCCGAGCACACGCCTCCCTTCGGGCCTTCGCATGGGCTGCCCTGGCCCCCCTCGCACTCTCCCCCCGACGGCTTCATACCACCTGCGCCGGGGCCACTTTCCTTGACCACCCGGCATCTCCCTTACCCTGCTTTATTTTTCTCCAAAGCACTTTTCCTCACCTAACATATTATGTATTTATTTACCACTCATCTCCCTCACTGAGATGTCAGCTCCTTAGGGCCAAGGGTTTGTCTTTTTCATTCCCCCGAGCCTGGAACAGTGCCCAGAACATGGCAGGTAATAGATATTTGTTGAAAAAGTAAAGGGAGAAACTCAACTCTGGATAACGACATAGAGCGGAGGGGCAGGAAGACAGACTGATTATCACTGTTAAGCATGTTAGAGAACACTATTGCGTGGGCGGTTGCATCTTCTTTCAGAAAGAGGAGCATGAACATGCATGGAATCATTACCCATCAGGATCTCTGAGCATATCCAACCCAGGAGTGTCCCCCATGCCACAAGGGCAGCTTTTGTCACCTATGCTCATGAATAATATGCACGGTGGATGGCACCTCAGAGGTGCTCAATAAATGCTGACTGAAAAGGGGAGGGCAGACTCAGCATTAGAAAAGGAGGAAACTAAAGAAAGGAACAGGGAGGCGCTGACACAGAAAAGTGCGGGCAACCCAAGGCCAGGGAGCAAGGCTGAGCAATGCTGTGGAATGCCTTGAACGCTGAGCTAAGGCCTCACCTGAGGCTGGGTGATGGGTGGGCCCCTGACGTAAACTTGCACAGGCAAGTGATTCAATCGGAACAGAGTTCAGGTATGTGTATGAGTTTATTCGACAGAGATTTGAGCGCCCATTTGTAAACCAGGCTGTATGCTAGATCCTGGGAATAGGGCCCATCTAATTCTTAGTTTATCAGGAGAAGACAGACAGGAAATAAGATGACAAAAATAAACAAGGGGGCCTTGGCTGGGTAGCTCATTTGTCTAGAGCACTGTCCTGATATGCCAAGGCTGTGGGTTTGATCTCCAGTTAAGGCATATACAAGAAGCAACCAATGAGAAGAGCAATAGAATTAAGAATGAGGCATAGGATATATAAATAGTTTTTTAAATTTTACTAAGATTTTTATCTTACACTCCAAAATGTTTGTAATATTTTTGTCTCCCAAGTGCAATAAACACCATGTTCTGATAACTACAAATAGCACGTTAAAAAAAAAGCAACAAATGAATGAATGCATAAACAAGCGGAACAACAGATCAATGTTTCTTTCTCTAAAATCAATAAAATAAAATAAAAAACCAAGGTAATTTCAGAAAATTTAGGACCTGAAAGACACCAAAGGTCGGGGAAGACCTCTCTAGGTGACATTTGAGCAGAATGTTAAAGTATGAGGAGCCAGCGCGAGGAGAGCTGAGGGGTGCCCCGGACAAAGGGAAGAGCCGCAAGGCCAGTGTGGCTGAGTAATGACAGAGGGGTTAGTGACCAGGCTGAGCCAGATCAAGCCGGAGTTGGATTACATAAGCCCTTCCTTACATGGCAAGGAGTCTGTGATCATTTTTCTAAGTCCCATGATAAACATAAAAAAAAATAAAATTGGGTAGAAAAACAAAAAGTTGGGGATCTAGGGGACACTGGGTATGGATAAGATAAAAACTAGGGTAGGTCTGAAAGTGAGTGTTTTCAATTCTCATCCCTAAACTAAGAAAAGGAGATCTTTGAACCAGGAAAAGATAAGGATCCATGCTTTGGTAGAAGATGGGACCCGCCTCTCTTCCCAGAGAACCTGTGACTCCTAGAAATCCTCAAAGGCAAGGCGGGGGAGCCTCATTATACCCAAAAGGCTGAAAATTACTTGCTAAATGACAAAGTAAATTAGAGACTCAGAGGAAAGAAAATTAAAAACAAGAGACCTGTAGTTTAACAAAATGGTGAGAGCAGAAGACTTTTGTCCACAGCACAATTAAGTATTAATCAACATAAATAGTACTCATTAGCAACATCAATTAAGTATTGTCGCTTTTTGACCCAGGAAAGAAAGAGGAATTCTAGAAAGCAAGCTTGGGTGGGGGAGAAGGCTTAGCATTTTAGACTAAGCTGTTTCCCTAACTTGATGTATGACCTTGGGTAGGTCGTCTTCTCTGGGCTTCGGGTTCCCTGAATTAAATTGAGGAAGCTGGACTATTCATCCAAGAATTTCTGGGATAGCTTCTCAGGGGTCCCCTATCCCTGTCACCTGGGACACAGAAGGTTCTTCAAGAATATCTGCTGAATAAATTAAGACCAACTTCTTTTAACTTCTCATTTTACAAGACTGGAAACTGAGGCCCGGAGGCTTCTCAACTATCCGAGCCCAACTTTGTGTGTATGTGTGTGTGTGTGTGTGTGTGTCGCGGGTGGAGAGCGTCTTCCCAAAGAGGGCTCCCTAGAATCCACTGGGCATCAGATTGGACAGTGCAAGTTCTGGAATCAGACGGCTAGGGGTCAAACCCCAGCTCCACGACTTACCGATCGCGTGGCTTTAGCCAAGTCACTCTAGGTCTTAACAGGGGCCTGACTTACAAAGGTCTCTGGGAGATCAATGATAAGCCCTGTAAAGCTCTTTGAGGAGTGCCTGATAGGTAATTGGGGCTCAATAAGTGTTGTCGTTGTTACTTATATCGCTTTAGCACACCGCCGAACCCGAATGGCAACTTTTCAGGACAGTTACAAGGCGCGTGCAAATCGTAACACGTGGTGTGTGGTAAAAGCGCTACTAATAATTAGTGACAATAAATTCCAAATTGCGAGGCAGAGGAAACGTGCTCAGCACTTCCCTTACCGCCTTGGGTCTAGTTTATAAACTCTGCCACAAGCTGGTCTCTCTGAGGTCCAGGTTCGAGCCTCCCCATGACCTTATGACAGCCTCAGATCTCCCAGTCTTGGTTTTCTCATATGCAAAACGGGGGTGGCAGCCCCCGCCGCCCAGCCGGCTCCAAAGGTCCCGAAGAAGGTACCCCGGGACGCCTCGGGCTGCCCACGCCGGCAGTGGAGTCGCTGGGTGCCGGAGCCTGCGGAGGCAGCATAGACCCCGTACAGGCCCTCGTAGGCCGGTCTCCAACGGCACTCACCGTCCCTACCTTCCTGCCGACAGTAGGCCATAGCTGCAGACCAGGGCTCAGACTTCGCAGTGTTAGCGGCGGCGGCAGCGGCGGCTTCTCTTCGTGACCTCTCCTCTGGCAGGGCGGGAGGCTACAAGGCCCGCGCGGACACGCCCCCTTCAGGCCTGTCCGCCGCGCGCCTGCCTCCGCGCCTTCCCACCCCCAGCCTGGGGACCCCTTCAGCAGAGAACTACACTTCCCAGAAGGCTGCGCTCCGCCCGACCGCTCTCCAGGTACTAGAAACTACACTTCCCAGAAAGTCTTGCAATGCGCAGGCGTATCAATGACATACAATGCACCGCGCAACTTCGTGGAGAAAACACCTAATCCTGGACTACATTTTCCAGAAGACCTTGCGGCGCGCTTGAGCAGAAAAGCTGGAGACGACAGGGAGTTAACGTTGCAGGACGTCCCCTGTGGTTCTGGGCATCACGCGGGTTTTCGTAACTCTTAAGCAGACAAGAGGCCCTGCACTCCGCACTCTGGCGGTAAACCCGTTTCCTACGCGAGCAGAGCGAGACGTGCCAGCTAGCCGGGTCCCACCATGGCCGCGAATGTGAGTGTCTCCTGGTCTGGCGGGCCACACCCAGCCTTCCCCAAGTCTCGGGGCCTCCTTTTCCCTTCGGGGCCTTCCAGGTCCGTTTTGCTTGTCTGACCCTCGTCGGTGCGGCTGCCCCTCTACTTCCCTCTGCATGCTGTGTCTATGGCTTCCAGCAGCTAATCCGTCTGCTTACTTGTCTTAGCCTGTCCAGACTCCTTTTGTGCGTATTCTTTGGTCCATCTCATCCTCTGGTCGCTCGTTTGTGGAGAGGGAGACTCAGGAGGTGTTGCTCCGGACATTGGGATCTGCTTCTGCACTTTCCGGCAGCCCTTCCGTTCATTCCCAGTTACCGCCTAGGCCCTTGGAGTTTTCAAATTTGCAGAGCTGGACGAAACCTCAGAGAGGGGGCCAGTCCGCAGGAAGGGTGGGGAAGCCGGAAATGTCCAGGTAGAGCTGTCCAGCAAGGGACAGACAGGGCTGTCCGGGCAGGCAGTAAAACCCCCCGCCCTTGGTGGGTGTGTAAGGGGCGCAGGCTTGATTGGGAGCGGAAGACTTAGGATGACTGTGAGAGGGAGGAGCATTTCCCTATTGCTGGACTTCTTGTCCTCCTAGCATGGATTGGATTAGAGGTCCTGACTTAAGGTGATTCCTCTCGAAAGGCTGCTGCTGGCCTCTTTTCCCTTCAGCCAGCCTTTCTCAGAATCTTTCAACTTAAGCCCAACATTCATTCAGCATACCGAGTGGCCCTTTCCACCAGCGTGCTGTATAGGGGAGAAGCTAGTGACTCACCACTCCCCTCCTCTGTGCAAGTGCTTCTGGAGCCAGCTGGGGAGCCCTGCCAGCTCCAGACACTCCCTCCCTCCCTCCCTCCCTCCCGCTTTGGTGGAGTGCCCTACCCACTCTCTCCTGTCCTGTTACACCCTTTTTCCAGGCCCCTTCTCTGTCCCAAGGGTTCCCTCTGCCTCCCATGCCCTTTGAGAGGCAGGGTTTGTGTCACCCACAGCCCTGGTGCACTCTGCCCCTGTTGGAGTTGTGTTGGAGGCCTAAAAGCCTTGAATGCTGCACTTTGAAAAGCCTCAGAGGTGGTCCATGAGACCCAGGGTCTGCCAGGGGAAGGGGTAGTCAGGAGAGACTGGCTTGCTCCCAAAGGTGGGCTTCTGTCTGCCTCCCACACCACCACCTTATTTTATCGATGGGGGATTTCCCCAGCAGAGGAAGGCGCTTGCCCAGGTCTCACAGCCAGCTTGGCAGGTTCCATCATGGGAGTCAGGCAGACCTGGAGGCAAATCCACTTTCCTCCTCCCTGTAGTTGTGTAGCCCTGATCTCTAGAGGGATGGGTTACTGGGAAGTTTAAGGGATATTGTGCTTTCAATAGTGTCTGGTGTATAGTAGGTACTTAATACATGAAAAAAATCTTCACAGTCTAACATGGATGGTCTGTCTGGTGGGCAGAGACCATCTTGGGTATGTCGGGACCTGACCTTTGCCAAGGAATGCAATTGAATTGGGTGTCCTCTATTGCCAATTCTTTGTTGATTCATCTAGTTGCCTGGTGCGTGTTTAGGGGAGGAGCCGCCAAGCCCTGGTGGGGGAAGCAGGGAGGTAACAGAATTCTGAATCAGTGTAATCACTATTTTGTCACAAGTACAGCTAATTGTCTTCACTTTATAAGTGAGTAAACAAGATTAAAGAGGTTAAGCAACTTATCCAGGGTTTCACAGCAAGATTTTCAGGGCCAATGTGTTGACCTCTGTTCCCACCTCATTATTTTTGAGCCCAGAGTGCTGGGACTGGGAGGGTATGTGTCACTGAGGATACAGACAGGTATTCAACACATGTTGTGTAGCCAACATCAAGGTGGCCTTTCAGGGAAGGAAGAAAGGCTCAGGAGGATGCTCCTCAGGCTAGGGGAGGTGTAAGGATGGGTAGTGGGGAATGGGCATAGGAAGTTTCCATCATCCTGTTTATAGGGAAGTTGGTTCAGAATGTGGAGTGGATGTATCATGTGACTACCCACCCTACTAATATAGTTGTTCACTCTGGGAGGTCGAGAGAGGGTACTATTAACAGGAAGGGGGAACAGAAACTTTCTGGGGTGATAGACATGTTCTGTACCTTGGTCAGGATGTTGGTCAAATGGGATATACATTTGTCAAAACCCATCAAACTGTACACTTAATATCTGCATTTTTACCATATATAATTAAAATGAAAACTGAGTATAAATAATGAAATTTAATTTATTTAAAGAAACTAATAATCATTCTTTTTTTCCCCCAGTATTCTAATATAAGTAACAGAAGAGAACATGTCAAAATTACGACCGATCCCCAGCCAGGCTTCCTGCAGCGGCTGAGCGAGACCTCGGGTGGAATGTTTGTGGGGCTCATGACCTTCCTACTCTCCTTCTACTTAATTTTTACCAATGAGGTAAAATGTCCAGGGTCCTACTGTGCAGAGTGAGGGTCCCTATAGCGTCAGGGAGCAAAGGCTGTGAATCCAGAGGCTGGATGGCTGGATTTAATAATGAGGGCCTAGATTTTACAAAACAGAGAGGACGATGCTAAATTAATCAGAATTCTTTCTGTTGTAACCCTCCCACCCCCCTCCCCATAACTGAAATAATGGGACGTAAGTGGATAGGTGAACACACCTGAAATCCTGGGGGTAGCACCAGTTTCAAGTATGGTTGGATCCAGGCATTCAGGAATCTAATTTTTTCATATCTTGCCTATGTTTCTCTATTGTGGATTTTTCTTTGGTAGACTCTTTCTTTGTGGCGGCAAAGAAATTCCAGGATCCTACCCATTCAGCTTAGCAACTACAGAGAACAAAGGAACCATCTCCTTCTAAATGAATTTAGCAACAGTTGCAGGGAGATCTCTGAGTCCTAGCTTGGGTCTCAGTCTTCTCTCTCAACTGGTCCCCGTGGCCAGTGAACACGTGTTCTGATTAACTAAGCCTGGGTCACATGATTTGGACCAGAGTACTGATTGGCACATATAAATCACCTGGACTGAGATAGGGGCGGGGAGGAGAAGACAGAGGAAAATGGGGGAAGGGGTACAGGGCAGACAAAGCACCAGCTAGCTCCAATGTGGAGGCAGTGGGGTGAGGGACAGAGGTCTTCCTGGGAAGGCGGGAATCTGGGGTTCTGGTCCCAGTTCTACCATTTGTTACACTTAGGTTTTCCAACCATAAAATGGGAAGATCAGTCTCAGTGCTTTCTGAGACCCATGCTGTCCTGAGATACTGTATCAGGCTATGCCTGACTCGTTGAAATCCTCACTACCCTTTGCTCACAGGGCCGCGCGTTGAAGACAGCAACCTCCCTGGCTGAGGGGCTCTCACTTGTGGTGTCCCCCGACAGTATCCACACTGTGGCTCCTGAGCACGAGGGGAAGCTGGTGCACATCATTGGGGCCCTGCGGACGTCCAAGGTACATTTGGCGATGGTTGCTGACCCACTGGAGGCTTGGATACTGTTTGCTTGAGGATTTTGAAAGCATGCACGTAGGAAATCCACACACATGGGTGTGATTACTGTCTCCACCATTCAGAAGCTGTGCGGACCTGTCACTCCTAAATCTCAACATCTTCATGGGGAGAATAATTGTAACAAATTGGGGGGCCAGTTTTGAAGATTTGGTGGGATTAAGTAGCTAACGTCCTGGCATAGTGCCTGGCGCATGGCGTGAGCTTTACAGATAGGTGCTTTAATGGTTACGATTAGCATGTGTGTCTAGTTCAAGGCTATAAAGGTACTCTGGTTATTAAACTTTTCCTGTTTGACCACCACATGCGGTGTCATTTGGTACTATGCCATTGGGCTGTGCAGTTGAGCCTATACTGTGAGGCATGTGTCATAGGCATTGGCTGTTTAGAACTTGGGACAGGCAGCTTCACTCCACTCTCCCACATGAAGTGGCCGTAGAGTTCTCCATCCTGTCCCTGTCTTCTGTACCTGTTTCTTTTCTAGCCCAGCTTCCCCTGAGCCGGGCGCTCTGGGCTGTGTGAGTCTTGTCCTTTATTTATTTATTTTTGGTTTGTTTGGTTCTTTTTGAAGCTCCTGTCTGATCCAAACTATGGGGTCCACATTCCAGCTGTGAAGCTGCGGCGGCATGTGGAGATGTACCAGTGGGTAGAAACGGAGGAGTCCAGGTGAGGTACCAGCGAGTGACGATCAGCTGGCGGTGGAGAAGGTGTGGATGTTAGGGTACAGTGCAGAAATGCAGGTGGTTTTCATTTTGACACTTCCGAAATTGAAAGTATAAAATCTTACTGTCACAGAAGTGTCAAATTATCCTGAAGTTATTAGGGAATGATCTTTTGATTGAAGGTGGCAGAAACCCAGTACAGAGCGGCCCAAAGGAAGGGGGAAGGATTAACTCCCTTATTTGGAAAGTTCCACAGATGCCTGAGTTTAAGATATTACCGGTTTGAGGCCACAAGCAATTTTTTCCCATGTGTTAGTTCCATCTTCTCTCCCATAGAGGGACAGAAGTGGCCTCCAGGTTTACATTCTGTCAGTTCTAACAAGTCCTAGGGGAGGCTCTCATTGGCCAAGGTGGGGTCACCTGCAGCTAGGAGTGGGGTCAGCCCCACCTGAGCCACATGGACTATGAGTTGAAGGGTGGAGAGGTGGCTGGGAGAGCCAGGGCAGCTCAGACTGGAGAAGGGCAGCTTCAGAGGGTCCCAATGGGACTGTCCTGGAGCAGCAGGTACAGCCAGATCTGTGAGCCTAGGGGGCGGGGCTGCGACCCTTGGTGTAAGCAGGTGGAGGTAGATTTCAGCTCCAGAAGGAAAAGCACTTTTCTCCAGTCGGGGCCTTCAAGGGCTGGAGCTGGCTATCTGTCAGGGAGTGAGCACCCTGCCTCTCGGCTGGTGCCGACAAGGCCTGCTCCGTTTGGACAGTTTGGTGGGGTAGCCCCAAGTTGCTTCTGGCTGGGGATGCTTTGAGATGGGAATGCCTCGGAGTGACGGGCTGACTCCGAGCTGCTGTGCTTTCCCTGCAGGGAATATACTGAGGATGGGCAGGTGAAAACGGAGAGGAAGTACTCCTACAGTGAGTATGGGCCCCCTTCCTCAAGGGCCACGCCCAAGGCCTGTGGGTAGATGCTGGGCACGTCCTTGCAGTGGGGAAGGGCACAGAACCGGGTGTTGGGATCCCTGAGTGCTGGTCCGCAGAGCCCTGCTCTCCCATTCATCTGTCGAGGCTCCAGGAGCTGCCCCTTCAGCCATGGAGTGGTCATGGGCTTGGGTAAGAGGACGAGGGGCCCCTGGGCCTCGGCACCTTTGTGACTCCTCCTACACCGTTGCTGAGTTGTTCCCTTTTCCCACAACAGACCCTGAATGGAGATCAGAAATAGTCAACAGCAGAAACTTTGACCGAGAGATTGGCCACAAAAACCCAAGGTGAGGACTGGGCCCCGGGCCCGAGTGCAGCCTTGGCTGCCGCTGGCATGTCTCCAGCCTCAGCTTCCTCATCTGAGTAATGGGATTAAGTTACTGCTGCTTCACGAGTTGATTAAAGCATTGGCTATGTGGACCACACTGTGGTTGGTGATGATCACCCTCTCCCTGCACAAGTCTGGATGCTGGGTGGGCAGCTTCTCTGTTGGGCACCAGGAACACAGAGGCAAAATCCAAGATACCTTCAAAAAAGTCACTAATATGAGGCCTGGACTGAGTGCCTGAAGAGATTTACATGTACAGTACCAGGGAAGCCTGTGTTAACAATTTGCCGTGGGGGTAGGAGGACAATGAAGAAGGGCTCTCAGCAGGCGGCGGCATTTGATGTGGGCATTTGTAGGATTTTGGCAGAGGGAGGTTAGCGGGGCCGGAGCACACCCGGAGCGTGGGCTGCATGCAGCCACGGGGCGGGCTGTGTCAGGGAGGGCCTTGAATGTGCACGGGGGGCTTAGATACTTCCTGGGGCTGGGAAGGGTCAGTGAGGGCGTGAAGTCCATGGAAGGTCCATCTGACGGCTGGGGGTGGGGTGGGACAGGCTGGTAGGGATCTGGGCAGGAGGGTGTGAAGCTCTGGGGATAGAAGACAGAATGAGTGTGCACCGTCCAGGAAAGAGGGACTCGAGCATCTAGGGAAAGGAGGTGCTGGTAGAGACAAGATGTTTGCAGTGCCTGGGCGGTCCGGACTTGCAGGATGCCCCTGGGCAGGGACCCTGCCAAGCACAACCCAAAGGAGCCCAGACAGCTCCCACCTGGTGCCCTGCTTCACTGACAGCCCCTCTCCCCCACAGCGCGATGGCAGTGGAGTCATTCACAGCAACAGCCCCCTTCGTCCAAATTGGCAGGTTTTTCCTCTCGGCAGGTAAGTCTCTGGACCATCAGGTGAGCCGTTGCCAACCCGGAAGCTCTGTGTTCCATTTGGCCAACTCCCATGAGCTGCAGCCTCTAGTGCTCAGTGACCCTTATGTGGATAAAGGGGCCACACTGCCCTGGGCTTGGGATCAACCAGCACCTTTACAAGGAGCATGTCTTGGGCTGCAGCCAGAGGGAAGACAAATCTTTAGGAGGTGGGGACTTGTGTAGAACACCCCCACCCTGGGCAGATTCCTCCAACACCCAGATTATTCCAGAGAAGGACCACCAGCCACTGTTGCGGTACTGGTGCCCATTCTGACCGGACAAAGCCAAGGGCCTTTCTCAAGCAGCCCTTGAGCCAGTTGTAGAGACAAGGCTTTCCTTGGGACTCCACTGCTGGGCCTTGTATGGCATCTAGCCTGTGCCACATAGTAGATGGTTCATTCCCCATCCCCCAAGTTATTCCAAAGAAAGGATTCCAAGGGACAATGCAGTATCACCAGCCACAGGAACCCCTAGGGCTCTCTCTCTGAGCTTGACCCGGGAAGGTGGGAGAGCAGACACTGAGGGCCCAGATAGCCAAGGTGAGCGCGTAGAGGCCAGTGATGCGGAGCTTGGCCTGTCTGCCATCTGCTCTGTCGCTCAGCTAGCCAGCTCTGGCCTCACGTGATTTCCATGCAGCATGAGAGCCAGGCTTGGACACAGATAATCAGACCCAGGGTAGAACAGGTCCAGGGCTAAGGCTCTTCCCAGAGCTGTGGTCACTCTGACTGGATGGAGGCGGGATAGGGAGGGCGTCTGGGAGGAGATGGAGACGGCAGTGGGGCTGGCAGAGGAGCCGCTGCGGAAAGGGCGGAGCTGTTGGAGAGCTTGGGGTCGGGGGTGGGGCCTGTGCGTGAGAAGGCCCCGAAGGGGTTGAGCGGGGTTTGGGGAAGGGGACAGCTCGGCAGGACTGTGTGAGGGTGCGGTGGGAAGGATGTCAGGCTGAGGCGTTTGCAGATCAGGGGTGTCTAAGATTGCATACCATGTTTCTGACCACTCTTTCTCCTAGGCCTCATTGACAAAGTTGACAACTTCAAGCCACTGAGCCTGTCCAAGCTGGAGGACCCGCACGTGGACATCATTCGCCGGGGAGACTATTTCTACCATAGTGAAAACCCCAAGTATCCAGAGGTGCGGAGGGGCTTGGGCAGTTTGGAGGGCGAAAGATCAGGCCCCTCAGAGGGGCCTGTCCCCCAGAAATACACAGTGGTCCAATTCTGGCTTAAGACTGATTTAGTTCAGTGGAACCCCCAGCTGCACCAGGCCAAATGAAATTGGAGGGGAGGGGCATTCTGGGTGATGAAACCACCTGGGCAAAGGTGTGGAGGTGGGAAGAGGGGTGAGGGTAGGGGAGCAACAGTGCCACGGACCCAAGCCCGGCCTGGCTGCTCTTGGCCTCGCTCACCCCACTTCTCTTCCACCCCTCAGGTCGGAGACCTGCGAGTTTCCTTTTCCTACGCGGGGCTGAGCAGCGATGACCCTGACCTGGGCCCGGCTCATGTGGTAATGTAGCTCCTCCAGGGTAGACCAAGGCAGGGCTTCCTGGTCTTCCTGGGCACGAACACAGTGAGCGCGGCTGTGAACGTTGCTTTGGACCCTCCCTCTGGGAACTGTGTGCACGCGCTTGTATTCACCCAGTCAGGTGTGCCTCTGGGCGGTTTCAGAGGTCTGTCCCCTGAAGCCATCCCTGGGTATCGGTTGACCCCAGGTTAAGAACTGTAGTTCTAGGGGACCTCATAACGATGCCTAAGGAGAGTTTTTCCAGTCACGTGTAGCCCTGCCTCCACTAGCCCCCAGTGTTTGCTCTACATACTTGATCTCAGTGCCTGACCCTGTCACGTATAGTTCCACCCCTGCTTGTGCCCAGGGTCCTTCAACTTTGTGGGGGCTCCCAGAGCGGCTGTACCGTAGGCCGAAGATGCAGTGAGGCCCGGGCTTGGCGTGGGTCTCCTCCCTCGCTTCCCAGTTAGGCACAGGGTGCAGAGGGGTGCTGGGACTGGGCAGGGGTCGCTCCCCCAGCTCTAACATTAAATCCTCTGACCAGGTCACTGTGGTTGCCCGGCAGCGGGGTGACCAGCTAGTCCCTTATTCTACCAAGTCCGGGGACACCTTGCTTCTCCTGCACCACGGGGACTTCTCACCAGAGGTGAGTAGCCAGCGTCTGTGATAGAGGGCCTGGGGCCTGCCCCCTCCACTCCCCTCCAGTGGTGGTTTAATAAGCACCGACTACCAGCGGTCATAGCCAGTGCTAGGAGGCAAAAAAAAAAAATAGGAGTGAGCACCTCCCTGTGTGCCACACTGCGCTGGGCACAACCGTAGGCAAAACAGACTCCTTCACAGGCTGCCAGGCTTGTGGGGAAGAGAGACTCAGCAACAACGCAAGGGCACCTTGTGCTGATTGTTGTCAAGGAGAGACAGATGATCCAGGGTAAAAAGGCATGATAATAGGAAATCTGCTTTGAGAGTGGTCAAGGAGCACCTCTCTGAGGAACACTTCTGCTGAGTGCCAAGTGAAGAGAAGGGGTCAATGCTGGAAGTAGCCCAGGCAGGTCCGAGTTCACCTTGTTGGGGGCATCAGCAGTGTCCGTGTGGCCACTGCCCAGAGAGAGGGGTCAGGGGAGGCAAGGCTGCTGAGTGGGCAGGGGCCCCTCAGCGTTAGGGGGGCAGTGAAGGGATTTGGGCAGAGTCCCAGGGCCAGGTAAGTGAGGGCAGGCACCCCTGTTCCCACCTGTAGAAGGAAGAGGGAGGGTCACGTGTCACCTAAGTTCCAAGGAGATGGGGTACAAAGAAGTACCGATTAGTTCCATTGCATGCCTTAAGTTAGCCACTCTTCCCTAGGCAGGGAATTCTGTAGCAGAGAGATCTAGCTTTTAGCCCTGGCTGGTGTGGCTCAGTGGATTGAGTGCTGGCCTGCAAACCAAAGGGTCACAGGTTCGATTCCCAGTCTAGGGCACATGCCTGGGTTGCGGGCCAGGTCCCCAGTGGGGGGCACGCAAAAGGCAACTACACACTGATGTTACCCTCTCTCCCTCCCTTCCCCTCTCTAAAGATAAATAAAATCTGAAAAAAGAAAAAAAAGATACAGCTTTTATATTGTTGATGAACACAGTGTATCACTTGTGGGACATTCTGTGCTTGCTCTGAATAGGATTGCTGGGTTGGATGCAAACCCTTCCGGGTGCAAGGGCACTGGGCAGGTGTCAGGACTTAGCTGGGACCCTTTGGACCCTATTCTTAGGCCCTCAGCTGTCATCCCTCTCATTTTAGCCCCCCAGCCCTGGCTTGTTGCACGGGCGCAGCCTTCTCTGGCCAGGACTAGGGTGTGGCTGGGCTGCAGCCCAGGGGCCCGGCTACCAACCTCAGGGCAGGGCCGCCACCCCCCCAGCCTGGCGGGGCATGCGTCACCCTTACTTCCAGCAGCTCTCAGGGCCACATGGAGCATTTCTAAAATTAGGAGGCCCTGTCTGGGCCTTTCCCTCTCCCCTGAGCTCCAGCCCCATCCCAAGGCTTCCGTCTCCCTGCAGGGAGGGGCCCAGGTCTCAGCGCTGCCCCCCTGAGAGGCATGGCGGTTCTCATGGCTTAGGTAACCCCAGGAGGGAAGGCTCTGACAGTGCAGATGGGCAGCAGCTTCCGGGTCACCCTGGGCCTCCGACACAGGGTCTGGGGTCTCTGTCGAGTTGGGAGAGAAGGCTCGGAGCCAAGGAGGCACCCCTGAGGATCCCAAACCCTGCGAGCTGGGAGGCCCAGATTTCAGTCCTGGGGGCAGGAGAGTGCAGTGTGGACGAGCAGGGACACTGGAGGCAGCCCCAGCTCAAGCCCTGCTCTGCCTTCTGTAGGCTGTGGGTCCCTGAGCCAGTTGACTATCCTTGCAACGTGTTGCCCCCCTCTGTAAAATGGAGCTTAAAAAAAATGATTATTGCAATTATCCCTACCTTATTTGGTTATGAAGATTGTCCGTGCAGCATATTTTTTATTGAGCACCAGGGACATAGGGACAAAACAGACGTGATCCCTTCCCTCAAGCTTACAGCTTAGTTAACTGCTTGGGGTGAGACCCTAGGTGTGTTACTTATCTTCTCAGAGCCTGTTTCCTCATCTGTAAAATGAAGGTAAATGTGCCTACCTCATCAAGTTATTTTGAGGATTAAATACTACTTGTGAAGCACTTAGGACAGTGACTGATAAATAGTAAGCAATAAATGTTAGCTCTCATGTTGTGACCGTAGATGATGGTAAGGTAGGCTTTCTGAGCAGAGTCCCAGGCCAACACTGTCCTTTAAGCCAACACTGGAAGAATGTGTAGGCGCTGGCCAGGCATGACTGTGGGCAAACCTGCTCTTGGCACAGCCACCGCATCTGCGCAGGCCCTGAGGCGGGAGGCAACTTGACTTGGTCTCCAACAGGCAGCCAGGGGGCTGGGGCTGCCTGGAGAGGGTGGCGGCGATGGCAGAAGCAGGGGGGCCACTGGGGAGGAGGCTGCTGTTGAGGTCCTGGTGAGGGGGCGGCGGTGGTGAGAGAAGATTTGAAATGGGACCCAATGTTGACAGCACTTGCTGATGGCCTGGATGGGAAGTGGCGAGGGGAGGAACAGGCTAAGTCTGACACCCAGGTTTGGCTTGTGCAGGTGGGTGGGTGGGACCCTTGGCTGAGATGGAGGTGATACGGAGGAACAGGTTGGGGTGGAAGCTCCAGTGTTGGTGTTGGATGTGCCAAGACATGAAGTGGAGCTGTCACACAGGCTGGGGAGCCACAGGGGTGAGGCACAGAGAGGTGCCAGGGCTGTCGGCCTGAGAGAGGCACTGACACATGGGTGGATTTCCTGGGGGGAGAGGGTAGACTGAAGCAGCTAGGGCATTTCAGCATGTAGAGGACAGTAGGAGGGAAGGAAGGGCCCCGGAGACTGAGAAGGAGCAGCCTGAGAAGAAGGAGGGAAACCAGGAGAGAGTTGTCCCAGATACCACAAGCAGCGTCCAGGATTAAGTCGATACCACACAGGAAGTGTTTTCTGTAGCGCCTGGCAGGCGCATTCAAACGTCCCCACAGTCATGGATGTTGTTAAATGACCCCAGAAAGGTATTGCTGTAGTATGAGGGAGGGTCAGGGTCATTCCAGATGTCAGGCTAAAGATTTTTTTTAATCCTCACCTGAGGACATTTTTTTCATTGCTTTTAGAGAGAGGAAGGAGGGGACAGAGAGTGAAAGAGAAACATCAGTTGGTTGCCTTCTCATACGTGCCCCGACCCAGGATCAAACCCGCAACCTGGGTATGTGCCCTGACTGGGAATTGAACCTGTGACCTTCCGGTCTATGGGATGATGCTCCAACCAACTGAGCCACACCACCCAGGGCAAGAAGTCAGGGTAAGGACTCTTGAAGGAGGGGGGCTGTGATCTGAGGAGGGCCCATACCTCTCACAAAGATCTGTGTGCATACCTTGCTCTTCTGTGCTAGGTCGGGGAGGTACATTCATCTGGGTAGGAGATGTGCCCTTATCTCCTCTGGTCTGTTCAGAAATGGCCAGTGTCTCCTACGTTGGTGTGGCCCCTCAGCCACCTGGCCTGCCAACCGGGTAGGCTGGTGAACCCCTCAGATATGAGATGTAATACCTTATTCCCCCACTTGTCCTGCAGGAGGTTTTTCTTAGAGAACAAAAGAGCAATTCCATGAAGACATGGGCCCTGCGGGCTGCCGGCTGGATGGCCATGTTTATGGGTCTCAACCTCATGACGCGGATCCTCTATACCCTGGGTAGGTGAGACGAGACATGGGCGGGGGAACCGCGCCTGCCCTCCTGTAGTGCCCCGTGTTTCCTCCATGCTTCTCACGCCATCATCCGTCAGCCCCTTTGCCCTGATGGTATGTTCCTTGGGGCAGGGGCTGGGCATTTGGTCCATCTCTGAGTCCCCGCTTTGTAGCTTTGGGATGAATGAGCAAAGGCAGGCAGGCATGAGAGATGAGATGGTTTTGGGGGTGAGGGCAGAGTGGATGCTGATCCTGAAGGCTGGCCTAGCCCTCGGGTCTGGGGATGTGGCTCTGCTTGGTCCACTCACTTGCTCACTCCTTCCTGCCTTCATCCCACGGCTGACTAGCCACAGTGGGGAGGCTGACCAGCCTCCATGGTGTGCTGGACCTGAAATCTGGTATCAGAGCGCTGAACCCTTGGGCCATCGTCTTTCCTGTATGAGTTTCAATTACCTCACACCTAATTTGTAGTTTTATGAAATGTTTAGCAAACAGGGAACACTAAACAATTGTTGTCCTTCATTCCCCGCCCCCAAAATGGCTAGATTTGGGCTAGCCAGCAATTCTGGGGCACAAGGGAGAGTGCTGGGCTGCTTTCCTGGCCTGAGGTTGGCACCAGTGAGCCCCGTAGTTGCCCAAGTGGCCTAGGCTGGTTCAGGACTGAATGTCCAGGCTGATTGAGTAAGGGCGGGTGTAGACTGTTGCAATGGGAGGTTGGGGCTTCAGAGGACTTTCCGTTTGAGCCTTTATGCCAGTGCGTCCCTGCCCTGTGCCAGGTGATTCTGTCAGCCTTCTCTGGGCCCCAACAGAAACCTCTCCTCCACTTACCCACGGCAGCCGGGGAGAGGCCTGGCTGCCCATATCCCAGACTGTCAGATCTGGGAGGGCCACCGTCCTCATTTTAAGGACGGGAAAACTGAGGTGCGGGGAGGGGAAGGACACGTCCCGAGGTGTTCTTCGGATAGTTGAATTATGCTCAGAAAGGCCAGGTGCATCTGGCACGCTGTCCAGGAGATCTGAATTTGAATGGAATCCTCCATCTTCTTCCTCTGAGCTGAACCTGTCGCAGTCGTGTGATCTGGACCGGCCATCTTCCCTCTCAGAGACGTCACTGGCCCCTCGTCAAGATGAGGAGGGTGGACTCGATCTCGGAGGGCCCTCCTTTGAGTCTCTGCCTGTCTGTGGTCCTCTGATTCTCTCCCTATTTGGAATGCTGACATTCCAGACTCAGAACAAATATGGGAGCATGGAGAGGTCCAAAGTGCAGGTGGAGTGATTCAGGAACATGCAATGCAAAAGCATTCATTCATTCAATAAGAATTTACTGAGTGCCTGGTGTGTGCAAGACATAGGCCCTGCAGACCACATGAAGAGGACAACGTCCTTGTCCTTTCATGGCTCAGAGCAATGACTTAGAGCTCAGGCTCTGGGCTTAGATAGTCTTAAGTTTAAATTCTGGCTCTAGCACTTTCTAGCTCTAGGACTTTGGGTGAGTTGAACTCCCTGGGCCTCAGTGACCTTGTGGGTAAAATGAGGTGAAGAATAGTACCAGCCTTACAGAGAGTGGGCCTGAGGGTTTAATGAGATGGTGCACATAGTGCCTGACACATGGTCAGCGCTCAAAAACATGAGCTCTGCTTATTATAAGGGTGAAGTAGGGGTATTTCCTACCCGAATAGACACAGATGAGCTACGAGGTGGCCTGTAGGGTCCTGTAGCCATGGCAGGGACCTGGGCTTGCTTTGTAAACCCAATGACACTAGACCATTGGGGCCTCCTGGGAACTGAGTGAAGATTCCCCCAGTGGACAGCAGCCATGGGATGCCATCCTGAAGAAGCTAGACAGGTCAAGGACAGAGATGGATTCAGCTGGATCCTAGACTTTATCACATTGGGCCGGTAGCCTGAGAGATCCTTGAGGCGGGGGCCGGCTGAGGCCAGTTTCTTTCCCGCAGTCCCTTCTCCCAGCTGGGCTTGTAGATAATTGGGAATGACCTACTGCCTGAATGAACAGACGCCTCCATGAATGGCTGAGGGGCCTAAATAGGCATCCACAGAAGGGTCTGCCCCCTCTCCTTTGTTGAGTGTACAGCAAATGGTATTTGCCACTGTTACAGTGAAATGTCTTTATGTTGGCCTCAGGCTGATTTCACCATACAGTTTAAAGTTTATAAAGCACTTGCACATGCCTTCTCCCCTGCAGTGGTGTGCAGGGGTGACTCAGTGTGCACAGCCACACAGCTCAGGAGGGCGGGCTTCTCTTCTGGACCTTCCAGCCCTCACTGGCAGGGTATTTGCCTTCCACCACGGACCCTCTTCTCTGCTCTCTCTCCTGGCAGCAAGGGCCCATCCTTGTTGAGGGCGGGGAGCCATCTGGTGACTCGAGATATAGAGCATGGTGTTCTCCGAAGCCTCACTGCCTTTTGCTTTCCCACAGTGGACTGGTTTCCTGTCTTCCGTGACCTGGTCAACATCGGCCTGAAGGCCTTCGCCTTCTGCATGGCCACCTCGCTGACCCTGCTGACCGTGGCCGCTGGCTGGCTCTTTTACCGGCCCCTGTGGGCCCTCTTCCTCGGCTGCCTGGCCCTGGTGCCCATCATCATTGCTCGGACACGGGTGCCAGCCAAAAAGCTCGAGTGAAACAGGACCTGGCACCCACCAACATCCATGTACGCTTCAGGATCCAGCTTACCCCCCGCTTCTCTGACCCTGCTCCACACCAGAGCACGAGTCCATATTGGTTTTGGATTCTGCTCCTCCTCTGCTCTTCAAGGAGCCAGACTTGGCGGCGTGCACTTATGTCGGGTTTGGTGTTCATCTGCTAACGTCTCTTCACCCTCTTTCTTGCCAGTAAACAGCTTCGATGGGCAGAAGGCAGCTCCTCTCTGGCAGCATGGCAGGTGTTCCACTTGTTTCCTCCCCTTCTCTTGGGACTGTGTGTGTGGCTAGTTCGCATGCTTCATTTAGCTTACGTCTGCAGATGTCGAGGTGACACTGGGACCTGCTGCCTTACCCCTTACTGCCTCTCATCCTTGCAGATGAGTGCCAGGGCTCTGCCACAACCACTGGCCGCGCCCTTGATGCTAAAGGGCCACCTTTTCCAGCTGTCTCGAATCAGTACTGGATTGCCAAGAGACTAAGCCCATATCCTCCAAAGCTGGTTTATGGATAGAGCTTGAATTGGAACTTCAAAAAGAAAATCCACTGGAGATATTCTGAAGGAACTTGGACATTTGCTGGGCTTTGCACTCTTTTTGTGGTTTGGTAGAGTCTTCTGAGTGTACAGGGTCTCCAAAGGCCCTGAGTTTTTGTTGCCTCACTTCATGTGTACTCATCTACCCTAACAGGAAGCTGTTTGAAATAAGATTTGAAATGCAAAACAGAAAACCTGAATGATTAACATTTCAGACTGTTACAGAGACACCCTTTAACCTCTTCGATGAAGTTAATTCAGATCACAGAAAAGTGTTAAATGGGGGTGTGACTTTCCTGGTTTTAAAAAAAAAGTTACCACTGTCAGTGTTCTGGGTCACTGGGAAGCTTTTAAGATGATTTTGAAACAAGTGTTAGCAAAAGGATTTTTCCCTCTGGGAGGAGGTGGGGAATCTCTACAGAGTATCCGCTGGCATCAGACACTACCTATGTACTTGAAGATAGTTCTAAGTTTTTAGTCAACCGTTAAAGGAAAAGGTTGGGGAAAAATGGTGGGGGGAGGTTGGAAGCTTTATTATCCTAGGCTCCCTCATAGTGACCCCCAGTCAAAGGCAAGACTTCGAGGCCTCAGGCTTGCTGGGGATTTGAATGCTCTTGTCCGGCCTCACTCCCTCCGTCGTGAGTACTTCTGACGTCAGCAGCCAGGCCTCCGCTGGCTGCTTCTCGGATTTGTTTCATCTGTCGTGTCCACCATTTTGCTCCTCCAAAATAAAATCTAAGCTCACTTAATTCATGTATTTTCTAAGTTTCCCAATTACTCTCACATCCTTTGACAGATAAAGTATGTTGTAACCTTGAAGTCCCGAAGGATTCTTTGTATTATCTTTTGTCTTTTCACCATTTGGAAATTGTTCTGCCTTGCTGGGAGTGGTTGCTGTGGCAAATAAGTATTTGGTAGTTGCATAAGGGGGTCAGAACTTCTGAAAACAGTGATCTAATAACCTCTCCTGTTGTCCTGGTATAACTGTGCCACAAACTGGGATTCTTCATGGAAAAGACAGCAGGGCCCCAGACATGATTTATCTGTGTTTAAGGACAAATAGCATTCACTGCTGTTCATCATGGGCAGTGTCTTAAAGGATGCTTTTGGAAAATACCGTGTAACGATGATGGCTACATACAAAAAGCCTTGGGATTTGGTCTTTGTAACTTTTCCTAGTACAAACTTTAAATTACTGCCGATATCAAGTGTTCTTTAAGAGCAAAATGTTAAATATTTGACGCCTTTGAAAAATCATGATGAAATTTGTATTACCTTTGTATTTTTGATAGGAAATCAAAATAAATTTCTAAATATCTTTTATAGGACCTTGTCATTTTCCCTTTTGATTTTGTATTTTCTGAAATTTCTACCTAAAAATATTGAGCTGCAAAACTTAGTAAAAACTATGAATTTTAGACTCAGTTGTAAGTTGTTTTTAGTGGTTAAATTTTTTTTTTTTTAAAAAAGGTCACCTCTATATTTCTAGCACTTAGAAGCCTTAAATACCAAAGTCTACTTTGTTTTGGATGGATTTAAAGTGAATGACTCACACTTCACCCATCTTTAGAATGTGCTACAAGAAAGACGTGGGATGGAATCAGTCTAATACAGTGCAAAAGGCATCATTGGCTTTGGGTTGGCAAAGACCTGAATTCCAACCCCAAGTCTGCCACTATTTGGCTGTGTGATGTTGGGAAAATCAATGCTCTTTGAACCTGTTTCCTCATCTGTAAAAATGAGGACAATGCCATTCTACTCCTACAAGTCTGTTTTGAGGACTAATGGGGAGAAAACCCATGAAAAGCCAAACACGTGACATGTTAACTTTTCATTCCTTTCGCCTCCTGTTCTGAAGCAATGGACTGCTGCTCATTGTCCACTCTGAAGTCAGCAGTTTGAATAGTTTTCTTTTTAAATTTGTTAGAGGACTTGAAGCAGATGAGTGATAACTTTGTAGTATCTGTTCTTACATTTCTCAAAACCAAATGTTTTATTGGACTTCCATAATGCCTCCTAGGAGCTGACATCTGAAAAACAAGTTATTTCGGCAGAGACAGGGTGATGCTTGACCGAATTTCCAGAGAAGTTGCTTACCTCTAGAAGGGCCCTGGTGCAGGAAGTGTGAGGCTCTGCAGTTTCCATGGCAACCCCACTGTGTTTCTCAACAAGAGCCTTCCAGCCAGGCTTTTGTGCATGAGTCACACACCCCAAGTGTTTTGTTTCCCTGGGATAAAACTGATTCAAATTTTTAATGGCTCCCATCAATGATGAAGTAATACCTCCTTGCTTAAACGTAGAAGAAACAAAACTCCATTTGTGTAATAAGTTCCCAGCCTACATGAAAACAAAATCTTATCTTGAATGTAGTCTCGACATGTACAAATCACTGTCAACATGTTTTCTTGGCTGATATAAAATCTGCAAGAAAATGTAGAGTTGAGTCTTTTTGGATAAATACTTTATTTTTTCTCAAAATGTTATTTCTCCTGAATATCTATAGTGCATAGAGCTTTGTGAAATTTACCCAGTAATGAATAATTCTCTTTTAACAATGACCCACTTTTTCTAATATTTCTTTAGTTCTGAGTTAGAGCTTTGCCTTTTCGATCTTCCTGATTTTAGTTTCTTATTCTACTCTTCTGTCATCATGATATGTAGCTATGAAAAGTGGATCCCAACAATACCAGTCTGAGGTGACCTGTGCTCCCCATACTAGAAAGAGACAGCATTCGGCAGTATTAGTAAACCTGACTGAGGGACAATGAGTGGCCTGCAGAGAGAGAGGGTCCACAGTCTGCAAGAGAGGTGAGAGCACAAATGTCTGACAGATGAAGGATCTGCCTGGAAAAAAGGACTAGTACATTCCTAATGTATCACGGTCTGAAAATTTCCCAGTGGTTTCTATTAAAAAACTCACTTTCCAAAAATGGGAAGAACCAGGTCTAGGTGCAGGAGGGTCTCCAGGGAAGTGTTCTGTAGCTCAAGGCATAGGGTTGCAGGAGTAAAAAGCTTTCAGGGCCAGCCCTATGGTGAGTGATTATGACAAGGTCTGGAGCCAGACCAGACCTGCAGCACCACCTCAGTTTGACCCTCTGTCCCTTGGATCCTTGTCTGCCGTACATGATGCCTGTTTATAGTCTTAGTGGAGACACCGCCAGCTCCAGGCCTGGGCATCCCCTGCAGCAAGTGCGGGGCCCGTGGGGCACAGCCCCTCACAACATGGCCACTCATCATAGCTTCTCAAATGGGAACAGGTGGGAAGCTGCTGCTTTTTCCCTTCTGGTTTTCTTAGGGCACTTTGCTTGCTTCTCCTCCTTAGCCTCTCGGTTTTGGGGCCAGGAAGCAGCCAGGATCCTGGCTGTTTCTGCCTGAGAGCTCGTTCCTTCCTCTTCGTCTGAAGAAAGTCCACCTTCCGCTGCATACGGGGCTGCCGTCTCACTCTGGAGAGGTGGACAGTGGAGGGAAAACACAGGCCACAGGTCAGTAACCAGATAGAGGAAGGACCATCCTGAGACAGGAAATCTCCCAGCAACAGCCTGCCTGGAGGGTGTGGCTCCAGCAGGACAAGAGCACTGTGTGGGGCTGGGGGAAAACTAAGGCCTGTCTCCCTGTGTCCTCAGCCGTGGGAATCACCCAAGCAGGCACTGGTAACTGACGAGCTGAGGGAATGCCAAAATGTCTAGGCATGAAACTACCCTCAAGGAGCGTACAATCAAATCCAGGAGATCACTGTGACCAGTGCTTTGCATGCGTTACTTCATTTCTCAACAGAAGTGACCAGTGCTCAGGGGAGGCACTCCGCGGGCCTGGGCCTGCTGGGGCGGGGAGCTGGATGCAGAGGGTACAAAAAGGAACCAGTCGCACATGAAGCCCAGTGAAGGGGTCAATGAAGGGATCTGAGGGAGGAGCATGACAAAAATATTTTTTAAAAGCAAATAGGCACCCTGGGGGGTTGGAGAGGCGTGGCCACAGCTACTTCCAGAGTGCATTTCTGCTGTCTCTCACCCAGTGGCCATCACACCGTGCAGGAGGCCTACAGGGAGAACTCGCACCCGTGTCCACAGGCTAGCCTGCCAAATGGCAGGTGCTGCAAAACTATTTCCGGCCTAAGGGATGATCGTGGGCACTGGGATCACCACAAGGCTAAGGGCGGTGGGTCAAACACGGGACTAAGAACTTGCCTCTTCCAGCATGGGTTTAGCACCACAGCAGGCACGCACTCGCTTGGGCGGGCAGGAGGGAAAAGGGGGACGCTGGGGCAGGGCAGGGGGCGGGAGTGGCAGCTGAGGCTGACTCCAGGGACCTTCGCCAACCTTTGCCAACAAAGGACACAGGGCCTGGGAGACACAGGTCTGTGGCATTCAAAAATAAAGCTGATCGACCTATGACTTGATGTCCAGGTAGAACGCGGGCCAGTGGTTTCTGAGTCACCTCTCTTCCCCGCCCGGCTTGCCGTCTTTACAAAGGACCCACACTGACCTTGTCCCCATAGCGAAGCCTCAGCCTCTCCCTGATGAGCAGTCCTTTCACCAGCAGCTTCCAGTTCCCTAAAGCCCGCTTCTCCCTTTTCTGCAGCAAAAATCAAACAGGTTAAGCATAAAATGTCAAGCATTGTCATTTTCAAGAAAAATATCAAGATGGAACCTGTAAACAAACAAATATATAGTATTTTAGGTTAAAAAAAAGTTTAATTATACCAAGTCTTAGTTTTAAAATTGGAGTGACTTATAAGAGGCATGAAAGGCATCAAAAACAAAAACTTCTTTTTAATTGTTTCTGACTCTAAAACTTGTAGGGAAAGAGGTTCTCCACAACTGGCCCACAGACAATTCCTTTTAACGGAGACAGGTGTCAGGAGCAGGGCAGTGGTCCCTGGAGCTGGGATCCAGACACAGAGCTGACAAATAATAGATGTAGGCAGTGGATTCTGAGGTGTAGGCAGGACCATTTAATACAGTGCTGGCTCCCTATGGTGCTTACTATGTAGTCAGGGAGCCAGAAAGAGCTTCACAGCACACGGACTCTCTCCTTTCACAGTTGCTGCAAGTGAGGCACCCATCTGCCCTGTGTGCCTGCCTTCCTGGCCACTCTGCTTTCCCACCTCAAGCCCCCACCCAGGCCAGTCCTGGCCAGGCAGCTCACCTCCTTCTCCTTCTTTTCAATGAGCGCCTGCTCATTTTCCCAGGCGGCCAGGAGCACGTCTTTGTATTCCTCGCAGACTACATACCCGTCAGTTCTGTGGGGATGCAACATGGGAGGTCTTCCTTGAGCCTGATTCCTGCTGTGGCCTCTCTCCCTCCCGTTGTGGAGGACAGTGGGCCGCTCATAAGCTCTGAAGGATTTCCCATGTCAGCTGGTCCACAATCCTGGTCACAGCTGCTAACAGATATCACTCATGCAGAAGGCAGGCCCGTGGACACTGGCACTACTTAAGAGCTGGGATGAGGCCCTTCCCATCCCCACCACATGCAGGACAGAGGTCACCAACCAGGAAGAGCACTGACCCCACTAGGTCACCTGTGACCACCCCCCAAAATCAGTGATTTAATTTAACATTATTAGGATGCTGCCTTCACTCGTTTTTCTGCCTCTGGACGGAAGCCAGAGTACAAGTGCCAAAAGTTTAAAAGGTAGTGTTGAGGCTCATTTTCCAAATTTAGAGTAAAACCTGGAATATAAGAGCCACCGGGCCTCAACTCCCACAAACCCCACATCAATTTCCCGCCCCTTCCCTGGGACCTCCCCGTCACCCTTTCCAGCCTCCACGGAAGAGCCCTCACGCACACGGGACAGGAGTAGCCCCTATGGAAATCGAAGCCGACGATGGCCTGGGCACAGTCGATGCCAAGCTTACGAGCCACACGGTGCAGGTTGGGCAGATTCAGTTGGACACAGCCAACAGGCATCATGTTGGGCACGAACAGGTACACGTTCCCAAATTCATTCCGGGGGACCTGCACAGGGAGGCATGCCAGGTCTGGGCAGGTGCAGAATAAAGCAGCCTGGTCCTGACCCCACTGAGCACTGCTCTCACCTTTCCGTCCACAGCCACAGGTGGCTGGTACTCTTCTGTCTGCCACCTGCCAAACAGGCCCAGGTCATTGTGGTCCTGCAGCTGGGGCTCAGCAAGGCGGGCTCTCCGGGCCCGGTTGGAATAGCCTTTCACCATCTACACCAGAGGGAACAGCCAGTTTACAACAAAGGCTACCCTTCCCGAGTGCCTACTGTACACTACAGCAGACACTGTGCTCAGTCTTTGCACCTGTTACAAAACAAACAACAGACAAACCTGAGATGGGTGTGTGCTTTTTATTCCCTTTATGAATACCAGAGCTATTACCACGAGTACTGCCAGCTAACATCTACAGGCCCTCAAGGTCCCAGGCACTATTTTCAGTGCTATGTATTTGATATTTTGAGATTGCAGCCAATTGCAGGTAACTGAAATAGTAGAGAGCAACACCACAGATAAGGAAGGGGGTCTTACTATACTTTGTTCTGTCATCACTGAAAGGGAAATTGAAACTTGGAAATGATGTCACTTAAGATCCCATGGCCAGGCGAGTGGTAGGGCCAGGGTTTAACTATGGGAAACTAGCGGTGCCATGCACCCCGGCAGTCTGAAATGCCGAGCACACCCCCCGACAGCTGTCTGGGAGCCAACACCAAACTTTTCACTGGGGAGTGAAGGGGTGGAAGGAGTGGAGAACTGGCAAGGAGGAAAAGGTTGTGTAACTTTTACGAGGAGGAGTGCCACAGGCGCCGGCTAAGGATTGGCTCCCGGGCCTGGGCTGCCTGTAGGGCAGGCATTGGCAAACTTTTTCTGTAAAGGGTCACATACAGCCTCTGCTGCATAGTCTTTATTTCTCTTTTTCAAACCCATTAAAAAATGTGAAAACCATTCTGAGAATAAGGGCCCCATGAAAACAAGGCCCAGGCTGAATGTGACCTGCGTGCTGCAGCCTGCTGACCGCTGTCCTAGGGGCCGTGTCTGCCATGGTCTCTGGCGCACCACCTGCCACCCCTGTGGGGCTCAGTCCCTTTCTAAGGAAGCCACTCGTCCGGCGCTGTTAAGATCCAATGAGCATCTATTACAGGCCCCACCATACCAGTTATTAGGGGCAGTCTTTGTTTTTAAGGAGCACAGGCTCCTGTGGGGAGACAAAGAAGATTGTAAGTCAGTGGGAAGAGCAAAGGGTACAATGGGGCCCAGAGGCAGGACCTCTCACCCAGCCCCGAGAAGGGAGAGGTTAAGGTAGGCTGTTCCTAACAGGCCCCATCTCAGCTGAGTGAAAGGGCAAAAGAGGGATTGGCCAGGTGAAAGAGCCGGTGAGAAACGTGTTTGGGACCCTGAGTATCTGGGGACCGCGGAGGTTCTGGCACGCAGGAGGGAACTGGCGGGAGGAGGCAGGCCCCAGAATACCACAGGTTCCGTGACACATGAAAGATGTGAAACTCTAGGTGGCGTGAGGGTGGGCTACCCAGGTGTCACATGCAACTCTGTTTCAGAAAGATCCCATGATGGTGATACTGGGAACGGCCTGAAGGGCTGCAGGTGGCTGTAATCCAAACAAGAGAAGATAAGGCAGGAGTTGGAGTTTCAACAGGTTTCAGAACAAGAGGACTTGAGATGTGGGATGCTAGAACTGTGCTAATGTGAGAGCCACCAGACATTTGAAATGTGCCTAATAGAAAATGAGATGTACTGAAAGTAAAATGCTAGATTTCAAAGCCTTAATAAGAAAAAAATATAAATATCACAATATTCTAAAATATTACATGCCGAAGCGACTATATTTCAAATATATTTGAAAATATTTTTTAAATTACATTTTATTGATTACGCTATTTGTTTCCTGATTCTCCCCCCCTGCCCCGCCTTCGACACTCCCCACTCCCTCCGGCCATCCGCTCGCTACTGTTCATGTCCATGGGTCATACGTGTAAGTTCTTTGGCTGCTCCATTCCCTATACTGTACTTTATATCCCTCTGGCTATTCTGTAACTACCTACTTGTACTTCTTAATCCCCCTACCTCTTCACCCATTCTCCCACACCCCCCTCCCATCTGGCAACCATCAAAACACTCTCCATATCCATGATTCTATCTCTGTTCTTGTGTTTTAGATTCAACTGTTGAGAGATATGTATTTATTGTCATTTTACTGTTCAAAATTTTGATCTTTTTCTTAAATAAGTCCTTTTAACATTTCACATAATAATGGTTTGGTGATGATGAACTCCTTTAGTTTTTTCTTGTCTGGGAAGCCTTTTTTCTTGTCTTTATCTGCCTTTCGATTATAAATGATATCTTTGCTGGGCAGAGCAGCCTTGGTTGTAGGTCCCTGCTTTTCATGCCTTTGAATATTTCTTGCTAACCCCTTCTAGCCTGCAAAGTTTCTTTTGAGATCAGCTGACAGTCTTATGGGAACTCTCCTGTAGGTAAATAACTGCTTTTTCTCTTGCTGCTTTTAAGATTCTCTATCTTTAACCTTTGGTCTTTTAATTATGATGTGTCTTGGAGTGGGCCTCTTTGCATCCATTAAAACTGGGACTCTCTGTGCTTCCTGGACTTGCACGTCTATTTCCTTCACCAGATTAGGAAAGTCTTCTTTCACTATTTTTTCAAATTTTCAATTTCTTGCTCCTTCTCTTATCCTTCTGGCACTCCTATGATGTGAATGTTGGACCTCTTGCCTATCCTTATACTATCCTCATTTTTTTTGGATTCTCTTCTTATTGTTCTGATAGGTCGCTTTTTTGGTTCCTTATGTTTCAAATCATTGATTTGATTCTTGGCTTCTTCTACTCTACTGTTGTTTCCCTGCAAATTGTTCTTTATTACAATTAGTGAATCCTTCATTTCGGACTGGATCTTTTTTATGTTGCTCACTAGGTTCCTTGAGCATCCTTATAGCCAGTGTTTTGAACATTGCATCTGATAGATTGCTTGTCTCCATTTTGTTTAGCTCTTTTTCTGGAGTTTTGACCTGTCCTTTCATTTGGGCTATGTTTCTTTGTCTCTTGTGTTGGCAGCCTCCCTGTTTGTTTTTATGTATTAGGTAGAGCTGCTTTCACTCTGTTTCTTGGCAGTGCATCCTGAAGGATCCAGTGACAGCCTCCCCTATCACCCAACCTGGGTACTCGAAATACGCCCTTTATGTGGGCTGAGTACATCCCCCTCTTGTAGTTGAGGCTTGGTTGCTGTTGGCAGGTGAATGAGAGGGATTTACTCAGGCCAGTCGGCTGCAAGGACTGGTTGTTGACCACTGACCTCCATGGAAAGATCAGCTGTGCTGGGGCAGTGTGGTGGTGGTCTGACGTGGTCTGTAGCTGTTCACTGAGTGCACTGGCTTTGGGGTTTCCCAGGGGGTGCAGGCCAAGGTCAGCCCCCACCTGTGTTTTGCCCGGGGCACCCTGCCTGAGCTATAACGCAATCTGAGATGGCTGCTTCTTGTGCTGGGCTTGAAGATTCCCAGGCAAAGCAAAGCTGTGAATCTAGGCTGGCTGCTGCTAGTGCCAGCTCACTGAAGTGTGCTGCTGCTTGTTTGATAGGATTTAGGAAGTTGTGAAGCATGAGCCAAGACCAGCCATTCATATGGAAAAGCAGCCTGTGTAGGGCAGAGTCTCTGGGGATTTCCAAGGTGGGTCAAACTATGTTAGCCAGGTTGATGGAGTCTCAGATATAGCACCAGTTTTCCTGCTCTGTGCGGGGAGAGTTTAGAAAAGGGACAATGGCCTCTGATTACCTTGATGCCCAACACTTCAGTTCCTCCCTTTGTACCACTGGTGCCTTTCCAGTTGCTATCCCAGTGATGGAGCTCAGAGGAAGTGAGTCTGAGTATATGAGTCTGTGTGTGGGTTCTTTAAGTGGAACTGTTTGGGGCTCCAGCAATTTCTTCCACTGACTCAATCCCCATTGGTTTTTGCAGCCAGAAGTTGTGGGGACTTATCTTCCTGGCACTGGAACCCTGGGTTGGGGGGCCTGGTTTGAGGCTGCAACTCCTCATTCCCAAGATATCCCTCCCAAATTTTATCTACCATATGTGGGCATGGGATTAGCCCATTCTGCATCTGTGCCCTTCCTACCAGTCTGGATGGATGTGGTTTCTTTAATTCCGTAGTGTCAGACTTCCATTCTACTCGAATTTGTAGTTGTCAGACTTCAACTAGATTTCTGGCAGTTTTGAGTGATGGTTGTTCAATATTTTAGTTGTAATTTTGATCTATTTGAAAATATTTAAGCATGTTAAAAACTCTACCTGTTTCTTCTTTTTTGAAGATTTTAATGTGGCTACTAAAAAATTTAAATTTGTGGCTCACCTTGTATTTCAATCAGAGAGTACCATTCCGGAATGAAGAGACTGGTTATTTGATAAGGAGCATAAAAGAAAGGTGAAGGTCTATGGGAAGCCCCAGTGGTCCTCCAGGTCCGAGCAGGCAGCATAATGCACTCAAGCCTGCTTTTGGCAGTGAACTGCTCCCAGTGCCTGCAGCCCCTTCCCACCAAACTGAGGCCTCTCTGCTCCCCACCCCAGAGTCTTACAACCCAAAGGGCTCCTTTTGGGATCTGATGAAAAAGAACAAATGTGTCTCTGTGACCGGCCACTGTCTTCCCCTGGTAAAACAGGGCGGTGTGTCCTGTGACAAACTGTTGTGGTACTGTACTGAATTCATATTCCTTGTGGGCAGCTGACCTGAGTTAGTGTGGCAGTACAGTGGGAGATGGGAGAGAACTAACGCCGGAGTAGAGGCAGGGCCTGGGATTGTTGTCTGCGGGCTGCCATTATCCTACCTGTAAGGCGCTGGACAAGTAATTTCCCCTTTCCGAGTTCCTGTTTTCTTGTATATAAAATAGCCATCATAATGCTAACCCCATGGCTGTTGAGACTCAGCAAAGAATGTATATGTGCAGAATGCGTGGTAACTTACCAAGTGGAAAGACACTGATGACTGGTGAATGTATCCACAAAGACCAGGGCTTTGGCTTCTTAGAACAACTCAGTAACACAGTTGCTATCTATACAGCCTTTGAACACACACTAGTAATCTAAGGGCTGCTTTTTGGCCTAGATTTCTTGCATGCTCTGGAATATCCATTTCTCCCTCTTTTTTTAAAAGGTATGTGTTTTGTTTTGTTTTTTTTTTAAAAAAGATTTTATTTATTTTTAGAGAGGGGAAAGGAGGGGGAGAGATGGAGAGAAACATCAGTGTGTGGTTGCATTTCGCACACCCCCTGCTGGGGACCTGGCCTGCAACCCAGGCATATGCCCTACACTGGCAATTGAATTGGCGATCCTTTGGTTCGCAGGCTGGAGCTCAATCCACTGAGCCACACCAGCCAGGGCTGGAATATCTATCTCTTACAAATTCCTCATTAAAGTCAGACATCATTTATATGCTTCTCTCCTCCTCTAATCCTTCTCAAACTAGAAAAGGCAGACCTGGATTCCTATCCTGGGCATGGATTTAGCAACACTTAGTCCCCACTCCTCTTCCCTGAGCTGTTCCACGCAGCCTTGGTCCTGGACCTCCCCACTGCCCTCAGGTGACCCCCTAGCCCCCACCCCCCGGGGCTCCTGGTTACCTTGTAGGGCACTTCTCCAAGCCTCACCACTCTTCCTTCTTTCAGCCATGTGTCCCTGGAGTGCAGGACATGCACGCAATCCCTACCAGAGCCAACAGGGGGAGACAAAGGACAAATTCAGTTCATACCCTGCCTGATGGGGCACAGTATAGAGAACACCAAGAAGGGTTCCTTCCACAAGGAAAAGCACAGCCTGGGATATTCTTCAGAGGCTCTGCCTCGTGGCCTGGAGCAGACTCTGCTCCTGAGGGAACTGGGGGAGCTCCCTCAGACAAACTTGGACTTCCTGTCTTTGTGGGTGTGAATCCACTTATAAATCCTGACCTACATGGAGTTACTGTACCTGTCTCAGGCTTCATGCCATAGACAGAAACCTCTCCTCCCACAGTGAGAGTCCCTCTACACCCTGTAGGGGGAGAGGTAAAAGCCACAGCAGTGCAGGCACAGATCCTTACCACTGAGCAAGTGCCTGCTCAGTTGTGGTCTGCTGCTAAATACCGTGGAGTGTCCACAGAAGGGGTGCTGAACCCAAAAGACTATATGGACATCAGTAAATTACCATGGAATTAAGGCTTGTGCTCATGGAATGGTCAAGTAACTCCCGGCACACTGTGATTATGAGGAAAGATTCTCCAGCTTCACTTTCCTCCCACAGCTAAGAGCTATATCCCAGCCTTGCAATTCTACTACCCAGCAAGTTTCACCTGCTTTCTTTAAAAGGGCATGCCCGTCTCTTCTTTAGTTGGTAGCCCTGAACTCTCTCTGCCCAGAGAGCAGGGCTCCATTGAGCAAAGGCACTACATTTCCTTCTAGTGTGGAAATCAGGCCCTTCATTTACCTGCCAGTCCGAGGCTGATGTTCAGCATAGCACAACAGCCCTGGGTGAACCACCTCTGTGCCCCCTCCTAGTGCAGTGACCCGGGACAAGTCGCCTTCCCTCCCTAAGCCCCAGAACCCTCCTCTACAATTAGGGATAAATGAGCTCTGTCCTTCTGCCTCACAAGGTTGCTGTGACGACCAGACAAAGTCTTTCCAGGTGCTGGAGCAGCACATCTCCGTCCACGGCGTCACTGTCAGAGCTGAGTGCTCCAGCCACACTCTCACTGCAGGCTGCACATCTGACCTCCCAAAGGAGTAATTACGCCCTGGTCTTCAGGGAGGAGTGGACATCCCCAAGGAGGGCAGCAGGGAAGTGGACACACCCCCCTCAGCGTAAATCTCCACTTTTAATCACTTCACACCCATTAGGATGGCTATTATCAGCAAAACAGAAAGCAAGTGTTGGTGAAAGATGTGGAGAAGTTGAAACCCTTGTGCTCTGCTGGTAGAACTGTAAAATGGTGTAGCTGCTGTCGACAGCAGTACATCAGTTCTGTAAAACGTTAAATGTAGAATTACCATATGATCCAGCAATTCCACTTCTGGGGCATATACCCCAAAGACCTGAAGGCAGGGTCTCAAAGAGATATTTATCGTTCTGTGTTCATAGCAGCATTATTCACAGTAGCCAGAAGAAAAGGCAGTACAAGGGCCCATCTGTGGATGCTAATCACGTAAGGACAACTACTGTGTGAGTCCCCTTACATGCGGTCTCTAGAGTAGTCAAATTCACAGAGACAGAAAGAAGGATGGTGGTTGCCTGGGAGTGGGGGGAAGGGATTTTGGAGAATTAGTGCTTAAATGAGCACAGAGTTCCAGTCTGAGAAGATGACGAAGCTGTGGAGATGGATGGCGGTGATGGCTGCACAACAATGACAATGTACCTAATGCCACTGAACTGTACACTTAAAAATAGTTAAATGGTCCATTTTGTTACATATTTTTTACTACATTAAAAAATGTTCACCTCTCATGCTTTCTCCTATGACTGACATGAGCCCTGTGAACCACCCTGGCATTCTCTTCCCACCAGACTTCCTGTCTGCCATCCACCTGAGGAAGCCTGTGCCTTGTTCCCTATCAAGGCGGCCTGGGCTCTGGAGGCTTTGACTGGGCAGCTGAGGCCCCTGACCAGGCATGATGTTTTCTGACACGGACCGGAGAGCTCCAACACAGACCCTGAACAGAGGGTCTAGGATGACTCCCTGCAGGGCTGACATACAGCAAGCAGTCCCCGGTCAGAGGACTCAAACCATCTACTCATGTGCATTTTCCTCTATTTCCTTTTTTTCTCTTTCTTTTCCCATTTCCTAAGAACATCTATTTTTTCATCTTGTATTTCAATGTTAAAAAAAAAATCACTTTTGTTTTCTTTCTACTGTTATTTCTTAAAAGTTCTGCTTCTACTTTTTTCTTTACCTTAAAAAGTTAATTTTTTTCAGTTGTAATTTTGTATATATTTTATATGCATTTTCTACTCTTATTTCCTTCATTCCTTCTTTGGTAATTTCTTTTTACTCTGGATAAAATATATACAACATAAAACCTGTCATAATTATTTTAAGTGCACAGTTCAGTGGCATTAAGTACATTCACTTTGTTGTGCAACCAACACCACCGCCCACCTCGAGCTCCTTCATCTTCCCAAACAGAAGCCCTACACACCTTAAAATATCCAGTAACTTCAGCTTTTATCAAATCTTTTCTTCTTTCCTTCTGTATGTTTTTAACTTATATTTGAGGGGTGTGTTTATACTGTCCCATTTAAACCTTATTTGTTCTACTTTTTATTTTTCCCCTATAACACTCCCCACCCCACTTACCTTTTAATCATTGTTGTTTTAATTTCCAAGCTTTAATCTCTTCTACACATTGCCCCACACTCTCAATAAAGCTCATCCCATCTGACAAATGAGATGAATGACATTACCAGCCCTTTGCCCCAGAGGGCTGATAATCTCCAGGCATCAGGACGCCCACCAAGCCACCCCACGCACCTGGAGTAGACAGCTTCCCCACGACAGTATCCAATGATCGCAGCTGTCTCGGGATAGATGGCCTCGTATTTCAGGAGGTGCCGCTTCAGGGCGTACAGAGGGTGGTTCTTATATGTGCCGATGACAGAAGGCAAAGGCTGGTCCAGGTGCTTTGCGTGAAACTGCAAAGGCCAGAGAGACAATGTTGAGCATGTGTTTTAGAGTAGGAAGTGAGGTTTGAGGTGGGAAATACTCAGAACAACTTGTTCAGATAACAGAAGGTGGAACAGAGGTTTTATAAACACCAAAAACTTAACACTGTCTTTGTAGCTCTGTTGTTAAGTAGGTTTTAGACAAATCAAAAGCCAAGAAGAATCAAGTAATTCTGTGGCTCATGGGAACTTTGCAAAGTCATCTAACCTATTCCTCAGCCTGCCCTAGCAGATGAGTTTCCATTCTATTAAGGAGCTTCATGGAAGAAAAACAGTTTTCTTTAGGAAAGAAGTCTTATCACAAAGTGACATCACTATTTTGCAAGGTGGGTTTCCTTGATGGCTCTTACAGGAAACCAAAATGAGTTGTTCACACCCTGTGACTTTTTTTAGTCCACTATAATACATATTCTCTTAGCACTTGTTTGAGGAATCTGATTTTTCAGTGGACAATTCTACTGCTGTAATTCACATCCTATCCACCAAGGTCTCCTAAACTGCCCCTTAACAGCTCTTGAAAATCCTTCAATATATTAGTGAGGACTTGCAATGCAGAATAGCCAGGAGTATGATAGACGCTCCACATGGTTAGCTTCTAGTACGAAGACTTTATTTAATTAGGTTAGTCATGATACCATCTGCACAATTCCCATTTACTGTGCCATTTTTCAGTAACATGAACCAGGAACAACCCCAGAGGAAACTCTGATTGTAGGATGAACTGTACTGCTACAGGAAACGCTGCACAGACCCATGCTTCACCCATCCTGAGGAACTGGGAATGACTCTTTGGCAAATCTGGGCAAACTCCCATGTGGAAATGCTGAGGTCCACCAGCACCGCAACCACTATGTACAAGCAGCTCAGGCCCTCCTCCTAAAACCAAGTGGCACGCATTGTTCTGTTGTAGTTTAGAAGCCAGCTTCCCAGTGGGCCTTCTCAAGAGACTGAAGGTTATCTCCTTATCCTGAGTCCCTTCCTTCCCATGAGACGAGTATTCTATATCCGTGGAGGGTTGTTTGTCTATGTGCTTGCGTAAGCGTGTACCACCAGAAAGGCGGAGGGGGGAGGGGAATAATCATATTAATGAGTTTTTTCTTCTTTCACTCAGTATGACTTATGTGACTTGCATAAATTATTTTAAATCTCTAAATTTATAACTAGGCAATAACTAGAAGTAAACAATCTTTCAAAAACCAGATAGACCTGGGTTCAAATACCAAGTCTGTTAATCTCTTTGGATCCTAAATTCTTAACTGGTAAAATTAAGGCAATAATAATCTCAGCTTTATAGTGTTATAACAATGAATGAGATAAACAGTAAGAGCACCAAACACAGACTGCGCATACATAAAATACTCAAATATGGAAGTAACTTCAATAACTCCAGTGGGTCTTTGAGCCCGTTGCAGCCAAGGCCTTACCTCCAAGTCTTCTTTCTTTTCCCTTTCCACCAGTGGGCTCTGGTAGGGTCTCAAGGTTTCAGCCCACCACTTGGCATCAACGCGGCACTTGCGGGTTGCTGTCATCCAGGCTGGGTCATACCTCTGGGTGACATCCCGAACCCAGCCATCATTGTCAATGCCCACAACGTAGGTCATGGGCTTGGTGGCGTATCTGTAACATGTCAGAGCCTGGCCCACCACACCATGCACGCAGTCCACACACACCCATTTTTCCTCCTGCTCACAGAACACCTCTAGCCACTGGTCCACACCTGCCACTTTTCCTTTTTCTGTCCCCTCACCATCGCTGGACATTTTCTTGCTTCTCTTACTCTTAGTGCTCGAAGAGCTTGTGGATGCTGCTGGAAAGCCAGGGTGCTTAGGGTGGCTTCCATGTTGGGTCTTGGATTTACTTCTGGACCCTGCCTTTGTCCCTTGAGAGGCTGGAGCCCTCCTCTGCCTTGAAGGACCAGGCTCAGAATCCTCATCAGATGGATGGTGAGCTTCCCCACTGGAGAGCTCAAAGTCGGAGGCGCTGCCGGCCTTGTCACTCCCACTCTCCTCTTTATAAGACACCCTGGAGGCCGTCCGCAGCTTCCGGACATGAACGTGTCTCTGGGTCTCCTCTTCCTGCTCTTCCACTGTGTCCTCTTCTTCCCCACAGGAGGAGGACTCTCTCCGTTTCTTCCCGATGGCTGCTGCCTTGCCCCTCTTCCTTTTGGCACTTGGACTGCTAGTGTTCTTTTTTCTGGATCCTCTGCTGGTTTCTGGTTTGGTCTGGTTTTCTGAAACTTGGCTGGAAGTTTCTGAGGAGCCTCCAGGACCCTCTGTGGATCTCTCTTTAGGTTTCTTTCCCTTTAACAGAATAGAAATTTGTTTTTTTCTTTTCTGCTAATTACAGGATAGAGAACCTGTAATCTAACAGGGCTAAGTCACTGGCAAGAAAACCAGTGTACACAAGATGCCCCCTCTTCGACAGTGATCGACTGGCCCTTTTGGGTCACAGGAAAATATTTACTAAAATATACAGCACCTTAGATAAGGTCACAATAAAATTTTCGCTACTCTCAAGCGTGGCACAGGGAAAAGAGCACAGGATGTGGAGACAGACAAACCTGGATTTAAAGCTGTTTCTCGTGTTATGTGAGTTAGGTAAACTATGTAACCTCTGAGCCTCAATTTCCTCAGCAATGATAATATTCACCTTGCACATAATGCATTTTGCAAACAAATACTGATGGACTTTAATAAAGTTATGGCATTAATACAGAAATTATTAAAATCAATTTCTGGACCATCAAGTTTCAGACAATGCCAAAACCCCAGTGTTCAGCCTCCTTCTTAGATGACTACAGAATTCAGAGTCCTTCACCCACCATCAGCCACACTGCTGATGAGGACAGGTGCCATTCTACGGTTTCATAGAACAGAAACTATAGCACCAAGGAGCCAAGACCTCTCGCAGGCCCTTTTGTACACGCAAAAATCAGGTTGCTAGAGAATCCACTCATGTTTCCAATCTTGACAACTCAGTGTATGTGCATGGGCTCAAAGGAACCCATGCTCCATTTTATTCCAACCCTTAAAAATAGTCTAATGACCAATTTTTTAAAAATCTGGTAACTTCTCACTTCTTCCTGACCAACTACCCTCTTCTCTGGAAGCCCCAAGAACCTTACCTTGGCTGCTGATAACTTCAGAGGAACTGGCTGGAGAGACAATACCAGGCGGGTTGGGAGCTGTAGGGCCCGGAGAATCAGTAAAAATATCTATAATGAAAAAGGATAACACATTTATCTCAAGAAAAGAATTAAGAGTTTAATTAAATGGTGCTTATTTGTAACAGGGAAAAGTTAAAAACAGCCAAGCTGTCTAATAATAGGAGTCTGGAACTCTCGACACTATTAAATATGATGCAGCAGAGATCTACCTTTGTAGAAAAGTGGGAAAATGTTCCCCATATATTAGAGAAATACAGAAGTTGTTTTTTTTTTTTACTGTGTAATGTTACTGTTTATGAGACAAAACTGTACATAAATATAAGGATATATCTATATTTGGAAAAGGACCCATATATTGGGTTATGGCTGTTTACATGTGGTGTTTTTTAGCTTACCTTTCTGTATTCAATGTGTGTTATGTTCGTGACTAAAAATAATAAAATATCAGTTTGACCAAAAACAAAACAAAACAAAACACCATTATCATCAGATGACCAAAGTCCATTCCCTACATTCCATTTTCCCCACAATGAATCTTTCAACAAGAGGCTGCATTTTTAAACTTGTAAGTTAACTTGTAAGGACGGGAGTCTCCTCCAGGGAATTAATCTTCAACACAGCAACAGTGACAAAGCACCTGAACAAGATCTTCCTACAGAGATCTCAGCCTCCCCAACATTTCTCCTGAATTACTCTAATAACCTACTGAGAAAGCCAGAGGTGAAAAGGAGAAACAGGACAGTAGGTTTTCTGTGAAAAGCCACATTATATTGGAAAAAAAAAAATCACGTGGCTGGCATGGCTCAGTGGGTTGGGTGTTGTCCTACAAAGCAAAAGGTTGCTGGTTTGATTTCCGGTCAGGGCACATGCCTGGGTTGCTGGCCAGGTCGCCAGCTTGGGCATGTAGGAGGCAAATGATTGATGTTTCTCTCTCTCTTTCTCCTTCCCTTCCCTTCCCTCTAAAATAAATAAAATCTTAAAAAAAAAAGGAAAAAAATTACTTTTGCTTTACTTCTTCTGGAGGTAAGAACTGGGGAAACATCAAAGAAACCCAAACTGAGAGACAAGCTGCAACACTCCTAAGCAGTACTCTTCCAAAATATCAATGTTTAATGAAAGACAAGGGAGGGCTGAGACACTGTGACAGGCTGGAAGACACTAAGGAGACGTGATTACTGAATGCAACACGATATCCTCGGTTAGATCTTGGAACAGAAAGAGGGCATTAGTGAAAAACCTTGAAAAATCCAAATCATAGCTACAGTTCAGCTGACAACATATTATTAATTAGTTGGTATAATTATTATTGTACCAATATTAATTTCCCAGTTTCTTTGTGTACGGCATGGCATAGAAGTACATACATGAAAGTCTGGATAACTGAGTACCCACCTAGTATTTAGTTGCGTATTCACTGAAGCATTCAACTAGCTGTGTGACTTCTCTAAGCCTATATATAGATTTCTTCATCTGTAACAATGCCTGCCTTGTCTTCCTCACAGGACTATAAATAAGTTCATGTATGTGACACTACTCTGGATGCAATCCAGTCAGTGCTACACAAACATACATGGTCATCGCCTTTAACAAGTAATCTGTCAATGTACGTTGCCAAAGGAAAAAAAAAATTAAGTTATAAAGCCATATGATTCCTATATGGAGACTTAGATAAACAGATGATATGGACAAATCCTAAAGACACAGAATTACAAAAACTGACTCAAGAAAAAACAGAAAATATGACTAGTCCTTTAACAAGAAGTCTGGACAGAAATAAAAAACCTCCTCACTAAAAAAAGTCTAGGACCAGGTGAAGTCTACCAAATATTTAAAGAAGAATTAATAATCCTTCTCAAACTCCTCCCAAAAATTGAAGAGGAAAAACTTCCTAACTCATTCTATGAGGCCAGCATTACCCTGATATGAAAGCCAGATATCGCAAGAAAACTACAGACCAATGTCCCTTATGAATATAGATGCTAAAGTCCTCAATAAAATATAAGCAAACCAAATCTAGTAACACATAAAAAATTATGCACTGTAAAAAAGTAGGATTTATTCTCAGGAATGCAAGGGTGGTTTAACATAAGAAAACCAATCAACACAATGCACTATATTAATCGAATAAAGAAAAAAAACAAACAACACAGTCAATCCACCACACAATCATCTCATACGACACAGAAAGAGCACTTGACAGAATCCAACACACCTGCACAATAAAAACACTCAGAAAAGTAGAAATAGAAGGAAACTTTAACACAAAGAAGAAAATTTATAAAAACCCAGAGCTAGTAAGATATTCAACAGTATAGAGTGGAAGTTTTCTCTTTCCCGAAGACTAGGAACAAGACAAGGAAGGCTGCTATTCAAAACTTGTATTGGAAGTTGTAGCCAGAGAAATTGAGCAAGAAAAAGAAACAAAAGGTATCCAAGCTGGAAAAGAAGTAAAATTATTTCTATTTATAGATAGTAAAATCTTATATATAGAAAATATGAAAGAATGTACAAGAAAGCGATTGGAGCTAATAAATAAATTTAGCAAAGTTGTAACGTATAAGATCCACACAAAAAATCAGCTGGGTTCCTACTCACCTGCAATGAACAATCTAAAAAGGAAATTAAGAAAACAGTATTATTTATAATAGCATAAAAAAAAATCTAGGAAAAAATTTAACCGAGGAGGTGATAGACATGTATACTGAAAACCACAAAATACAGCTTAAAGAAATTAGACACAAAATAAAATGAAAGATATCCATGTTAATGAATTGGAAGATGTAATACTGTCTTCATGGCAATGCTACCCAAATCAATCTACAGATTCAATGTAATCCCTATTGAAACCTCAATGGCCTTTTTTTAAAAATAGAAATGAAAAAGCAGATCATCAAATTCATGTGAAACTCCAAGGGGCCCTGAATAGCTAAAACAACATGGAAAATGAAAAACAAAGTTTCATTCACATGTCTTGATTTCAAAACCTACTGCAAAGCTATAGCAATCAAAACAGTGTGGTACTGGCATAAGGATAGACATGTAAACCAATGGAATAAAATCAAGATTCCAGAAGTTAACCCATACATCTATGGCGAATGGATTTCTGACAAGGATGCCAAGACCATTCAATATCCACTGAAAAACTTGTCTCTTCAAAAAATAGTACAAATAATTCAACAAATAGTTGAAAGAGTAGTCCTTCAACATTAGTGCTGGAACAACTGGATACCCACAAGCAAAAAGAATAAAGCTAAACATCTACCTCACATCACACGCAAACATTAACTTAAAATGGATACAAGACCTACATCTAAGAGCTGAAACTGCAAAACTCTTAGAAGGAAATACAGAAGGAAATATTTATGACCCTGGATTTGACAAGTCTTAGATATGACACAAAAAGTATAAGTAACAAAAAAAAAAATTGACTTTGTCAAAATTAAAACTTTTCTTCATCAAAGGACTTTATCAATAAAGTGAAAAGACAACCTACAGAATGAGAGAAAATATCTGCAAAGCATGTATCTGATTGGTGTCTAGTATCCAAAATATATAAAGAACTCTTACAATTCTACAACAAAAAGACAAAGAACCCAATTAAAATATGGGTCTAAGACTTGAGTAGGCATTTCTCCAAAGAAGATATACAAATGACCAATATACACATGAAAATATGCTATCAATTTGTTATCAGGGAAATGCAAATCAAAACCACAATGAGATACTTCATACTGATTAGGATGACTGTAATAAAAACATGGAAAATAACGTGGGACCCTTGGATATTGCTGGTGGAATGTGTCAGTGCAGTGGAAATCTGTGGTAGTAAAGTTTAACCTACAATTACCATATGACCCAGCAACTCCATTCCTAGGTATATACCTGAAAGAACTAAAAACAAGTACCCAAATAAATATATGTATACATGTATATAGCAGTACTCTTCACAATAGCCAAAGTGGAAAAAACCTAAATGTCCATCAGTTGATGAATGGTTAAATGAAATGTGTTTTTTCCATACAAAGGAATTTTATTCAGCAATATAAGGAATGAAGTACTGATACAGTCTGCAAACATAGATGAACCTTGAACACATGCTAAGTGATAAAAGCCAGACACGAAACATCACATGTATAATTTCTTTTATATGAAATATCCAAAATATGTAACTCATTAGACAGAATGCACATTGGTGGTTGCCAGGTGCCTGAGGGGGTGGGAAGAGGTAGAATAAAGAGTAACTATGTAATGGGTATAGGATTACCTTTTGAGACAGCAAAAAATGTTTTGAAAATACAAAACTCTAAATGCACTAAATGTCACTGAATTGTTTACTTAAAAAAAAAAACTAAGTTTTTTGCTTAAGGAAAACCCCACAAATGAAAACAAATATATATGTACACAAATGCACGGGAGCAAATCATGGAGAACAGTATTCAAGTATTAATGTTTTCTTCTGGATGGTGGTATTACAGCATAATTACTGGCCGCGGCAGGTATCTTAGACTTTATCAAGCGAAATCAGAAGAGATGTAAAGATGCCAGTCATTTAGCCTCTAAAGATACAAAAAGTATGGGCTTTTTCCCTAAACAAACAGGGAATCCGGGGCTCAAGCACAAGTGGACGTACTCACAGGAATCTTCCAGGGATAAAGCCATATATCTACCTCTATGTCTGTTTAAGTCAGAGCCTTACCTAAGGGTATTCTCAAGCATTTGAAAAAGCCTATCTACGCATTAAGAGCTCTTCACCAGGACCTTTCGGTAGATATAACTCTCCTCACTGCAAGGCTGCCTGCCAATGCCATCACCCACACTGGAAGGTATAGAAACACTTTCTCAAGGATTTAAGCAGCCAATGTGAAACATGTCCTTGGAAATTCTAAACACAATTTCTGAATAGTTAACGGAAATAATTCTAGGGCCCCTGACCAAGAATCCAGTGCTTTAATATACCAAGACACCAAGTAACAGAAAAGGAAGAGTGTAGGCCTTTAACTCACACATGGGTCCAACACTAATTCCAATGCTTGCCAAGTGAATGAGCCTAAGAAAGTTCCTTAGCCTCTTTGAGCTTCAGTACCTATTCTTTATTCTATGAGGTCTGATGAAGGAAATACATGTAAACCACCTGAACAACATCTGGCACATGAGTGCCATTGTCATTTGCTAACAGTTCTAATAACAATAGCGGTGCCAGGAAGAAACACTCACGTGGACCAATTCTTCATCATCTCGTGCAGAGTAAATTGCAAATCTTCTTTCCAACGTAGTCCGTAGGTTGTCTTGCTCACTGATTGAAAGCTCTGAATTAACTGTAAATGTTCCAATGAACCTGGAGAGAAGCCGAGTATTCCTTCATGTGAGAGGTCAGAGCAAAGAGGAACTCTGTTTCTTTACAGCCAAGAAAATCAGACGGGGGAGTCTAGAAAGGGAATTGTGAGCCCCCCGCCTTTATTCTGCTCTCCCCACCCTGTTTGGCTACCTCCTACTCACCACTGAAGACCCGATTTAGATTTCGCCTTCCCAGACCCCGCAGCCAAGATGAGTGCCCCGGCTCCGTGTGCCCACAGTCCCCAGCACACCTCTTCCAGAGCATTACTCTAATTATCTGGGGTATATCTGTCACTCTGGCCAACCTGGGAGCTCTTCCAGCACAGAGACCATACCTGACATTTCTCTATGCTCAATGCCACATCCACTGCCTGGCGTACAGGATCACCTCAGGGGTGTCTGTGGAAGTGGCCACCGCCCTGAGAGACACAAATCCTACATTAAGGCTGTGCTGCTCAGGCCAGAGGGCCATACCATTTCACCAGGTTTGACAGGTAGCAGATGTCCACGTCTTGAGCAGGCACCCTGGTGAAGTGAATTGGGATGATGGACAGGCTGATAGCCTGCAGATCGGGCTGGTTGCAGATGCTATTTCGATAGAAGCCATTTGCCAGTAGGCACAGAAGGTGAACCTGGGAAGAAAGAGAAAAAGGAAGACATGGAAGGAAGGCTAAAAACCAGAGGGATTTTTGCTTCCAAATTAAAAGACATTTTGTGGGCAGGAAATATTTGTCATTTCTACATACAAAAAAGTAAAAATACTAACATTAGCCATTCCCCAAGATTTTTGTCTCATCCCCTCTTCTTCTATCTAGATACTCATTCCCTCAAAGGATCACGAATCTCAAAGCTCAAAATTCAAATTTCCTTTCTTCTAAGAGGCCTTGTCTTTTAGAGATACATATCGAAGGAACTATGGATGAAATGCTGCAAGGTCTGGGGTTTGCTTAGGAGTGTCAGGAGAAAAAGTGAATCAGGGGAAAGAACAGTAAGATTGTTCACACGCTAGTAGCAGTCACCACTAGGAAGGTGCACAGGGCCCACTGCATTGCTGCCCATGCCCCGTGTGCTTGAAACCAACCTGCTCTGCTTCGGACCCCACCCTGTCTCACATCTGACCACCTTCCTCAACCTACTGAAATTATCGTGTGACTCTTTTCCCTTCTCTCACACATAGGTTTGCATCATTTTCACCTCAAAATTGGTCTTCCTTCCTTCCCACTCATAGCCTCCCTATTTCAACCAATGACATTGCCCTTCTCTCCTCACTTCGGTTTCAAATCTTGGTCTCTTTCTTTCTTCTCCAACATCAAGAGGTAAAGAATCACAGCTCTCGCATTTACCCCCCAAGGCTGCAGCGAGGTAGGCAGCACTCCAGCTCCTGCCTCAGCCCCTCACTGTCCTTGCTAGGTGTGCATCTCACCTCTCGGTTTCTGTGGCTGCTGTGGAGTGCCTCTTCCATCTATTCTATCACTACTCTCTCTGGCCGCCCACTGCCAATCAGAAGAAAAATCAAAGTCCTCCCTTGCCTCACTCCCGTCAGGCCTCCAACATACATATCCTCCAAGATGTGCGCAAACTGGTTGTCCCACCATGCCCTCTGTAACTTGGCGAGAGCAATCTCCCCAGACCCTGTCCTCTCCCATCTCAGCATGCTGTTTTTCCTCCTAAATAAAGCCTTCCTCAGCTACTCACACCCACACTGATCTCTTTCTTTCTTCCAAGTCTTGAGTTTCTCTGCTTTGAGGTCTTTCCTGTTCCATCTTGTGAGATCAGAAACTCCTTAATAGAAGGAAATAATCTTTATACAAGTCTCTCTCTCCCCACAATGCCAAGAACCTTGCTAGGTCCATAAATCATGTTCAATAACTACCAGATGAAGTCAAGAGTCAGTGACTTCAGCTGAGATCAGAATTAATGTTATTAAATAGTTGAAAAAAGAGATGGATGGTGTCTGTTAGCCCATGCTCCATGCCAGGCATTGTGCTACGTACTTTACATGTGACATTTGCTTAATCCTCACAACCACCCTCTGAGGAAGACATTATAACTATCTCCTCCTTCAAAGATGAGGAAACTAAGCCTCAGAGAGAAGAAACTTGCCAAGGTCCCATAATGAGTAGGAGAGTGAGAAATAGGACCTAGGTTTCACTGACTGAGAGCCCAAGTTCTTTCCGCGATAGCACCCTGCCCTGATGAAGAGCAATGCTGTCCTTTCCCTTCATGCCCGCCCTTACCTTGTGTGTGTTCTCGTGGACCTCTTTACTGAAACGTTTCATCAGCCTCCGAAGACATGTCTCAAACTCCATTTGTATTTTTTCACTGCAGTGCACATTGAAAAATCCGAGAATGAACTGGGAAATTGAAACCTGACTCATTCCCCCGGTTAATTCCCTTTATTTAGGATGGCACATGAATCGCTCTCCTTGTTTTCCTGCACAAGGCCATGCTACTCGAGTAAATTTTTACAAGCTACCTATTTTCTGCATACTTTTCTGCTGCTCACCTACAAATCTAAGCTCAAGACATTCTCTGCCCAGGCTGCCCTCCTCTCAACCTGCCCCAAATCATACCTCATGAACATGAGTTAAAACTCACCCACTCCGAGAAGACTTCTCTGCCTGCCTGACCTCCCAACTACCCATTCCCTCCTTAGCAACAACCACCTCTATGTTCAGTTCATGTACACTCATTTGTATTATGCTGTTCTGATGTGAAATCTCTTTCATGCCTGTGTCCCATGCATCTTTATATTCGATGCTTCTTGAATGACTTCTGTTACCTTCCCTCTGCACGGCTAATAATGTGCCCAGCATACAGTGGAACCCATTAACCAATAAACTACCAGGTATTGCGCCACATATTCCCAAGCAACCAGAAGCTACAGAGGCCCTGGGGATGTTGGGATGCAATGGAGGCTCCCGCAGTGGGGCACTGCTTCAAGTCCTACAGAGTGACGTGGTGAGAAAAGCCTGACTTCTCGAGTCAACCTGACAGGGATTTGGATCGTGGCTCATCCACTAACTGGCGGAGTGACTCCTGAAATTGTATTTAACCTCTCTGAGCCTCTGGCTCCTCCTTCACATAATGTTCTAAAGATTAAGTAAGATGACGGACAATCTTAGCACACAGAGGTGGTTCAATACAGAGGGGTTTCCCCTCCCCATCTCCTGCCCCAGCCAGGACATGAAGGTTTCTCATTCGGGCCCTAAAGGTAAGCCCAGGGTTCTCCCCCGCAAGATTCCCGACCACTTTGATACTCAGCTCTGGCCTCCTATGCGTTTCTCAGAAGTTTTCATTAGGTAACAGCTGTTGCCAATTATATGACAGGACTCTAGAAGCAAGTGCTTAATCTTACCTTCTTTCTCTTGCTTTCGCCTGCTCCGGTGTTTCAATCTCTATCTCCACTGGTTTCACAGGCAGAACAGATTGAGACAAGGCTGCATTGTCTCCCGTAACACCTGGCACAGGCTCACTAAGTTCTATCAACAGTAATTAAAAAAATCAATAACAATAATTATAATAGCTGTTGTAATAAACAAAATCGAGGTTCTGCTGGGAAGGAGGAAGTGAGGGACAGGTGCAAGGTGGACAACTCGAAGAAATAAATACTCCTTCCATGCTGAGTACCTAAACAAACAAACAAACAAAACAACAAAAGAACCCTGCCAGGCACTGTGCTAAGTGCTTTACATTTATTTGTCTCATTTAACCCACAGAGAAGTAGTCCTGAGAGTAGAAGAGGAGGAAACTAAGACATAAAGATACTGAGTTGAGTTAGATACAGACCCCTGATATCAAGGGGCTGACACTTGTGTATGTTTTAGTAGATATTCTTTTCATTAAAAAAAAAAAAGCCAAATGAGAACAATCTCTATTTTTTAATTAGTATATAACAGTACAATTTGTTTTGTATGAGGTGGTGATTTAGGTGTCTTTGTGTCTTTCCGACTTAGTTGTAAGTTTGTAATGACATGGAATGCATCTTTTTCATCTCTTTATCCACTACACCGCTTATCAGCACTAGCTGAAATAAACTGAATTTGTTGAAATGGATCTGTGCACTTCAGTAGCAAATGGCTCTTATAAAGAAGCTTTGGGCTTAGAAGCAGTAGCACCTGTTTCACAGTGAACACTCCTAATGACAAAATTTTGGTTTCCATATATCAGTTCTCACTAAAATGAACCAAGGCTTCTTGGAGGAAAATGGTTGATTCTAAGTCTGGAGCAAGGAAAGTATAAAGTGAGCCTAGAACATCTTGTTTTGCCAGAAAACATACATGTTCTCAAAAACTAGTGAGGCTATGTCAAAAAGACACGGTAGGGTAGCTAGTTTAAAGGGGCTTCCACTACCCAAATCTGAGACAACCTGAAGCTCAAAAAGATGGTAGCTGGTAGTATATGTCATTTGTAAAAAGCAAAACAAAACAACTTTAGGTCCATAGTGATACTTAGAATAAATGACTAAATAAACTTACAATTCCTGAAAGGAAGGTAAGATTAGGCTCGTGCTAAAAAGTAAATATAATTCCTTTACAAATCACTCAGGTAATAAATGTATATAAAATAACAGAATCCAATTGTTACCATTTTGCAATCCTCAATATAATAATTTTTGATCCAGTCATGATCATTAATGCATGCTAAAACCGCTGAGTAAAAATTATTTGGGAACAAGAGATTGACTGAGACTCAGAGCATTACCCCAGAAATAGTTATTAGAAAGGGATAATGGCTCAGTATCACTAGTCATCAGAGAGATGCAAATTAAAACCACAGTGAGATATTACCTCACACCTCTCAGAATGGCTATTGTTAACAAATCAACAAACAACAAGTGCTGGCGAGGATGTGGAGAAAAGGGAACCCTAGTGCACTGTTGGTGAGAATGCAGACTGGTGCAGCCACTGTGGAAAACAGTATGGACTTTCCTCAAAAAATTAAAAATGGAACTGCTTTTTGACCCAGCAATTCCTTTGCTGGGAATATACCTTAAGAATCCTGAAACACCAATTCAAAAGAACCTATGAACCCCTACGTTCATAGCAGCGCTATTTACCATAGCCAAGTGCTGGAAACAGCTTAAGTGCCCATCAGTAGATAAATGGATTAAAAACTGTGGTACATTTACACAATGGAATACTATATAGCAGAAAGAAATAAGAAAGAATTCCTACCTTTTGCGACAGCATAGATGGAACTGGAGAGTATTATGCTAAGTGAAATAAGCCAGGCAGTGAAAGATAAATACCCTATAATCTCACTTATAAGAGGAATCTAATAAGCAAAATAAACTAAAGAGCAAAACAGAATCAGAGATATGGAAACATGGAACAGACTGACAGCTGCCAGAGGGGAGGAGAGAAGGGAGGAATAGTGGAAAGAGGGGGAAGGGATTAGTTGAAGAACATGTGTGAATGAAACATTGTTATGGACAGCGACATAGAAGAACAGACAGAATCATAGATACAGAGAGCATTTTGATGGTTGCCAGACGGGAGGGAGGATGTGGGAATATGGGTGACGAGGTGAGGGGATTAAGAAGTACAAATAGGTAGTTACAGAATAGCCATGGGGATGTAAAGTACAGTATAGAAAATGGAACAGTCAAAGAACATATATGCATGACGCATGGACATGAACGAGCTGTGGGGATGGCCTGAGGGAGTGGGGGTGTTCTATGTGCAGGGGAGCAACTGGGGAAAAATTGGGACAACTGTAAAAACATAATCAATAAAATATAATTTTAAAAAGTGTAATCTAAATTCAATCAAGTTTTGAACTTAATTTACAATTTGTAAGAAATACATGGGATACTGAAACAAGTGTAACAACATCACTGGATGTCTGATTATTTATCAGACCAAGCTGGATCCTGAGATATTCTACAAAACAAGAGGCCAGAACTCCAGAAAAAAGGCAGAGCTATGAAAAAACAAAACTAAAGGTGGGTGGGGGGTGCTGTTCTAGAATAAAGGGGACTAAAGAGATAATCAATTCAAGGCTTACACCTTGAATAAATCCTAGATTAGAAAAAAAGGGCAAGAAATAGCTATAAAGAATATTGGTATAACAATTGGGAATTTATTTTTCATTTACTTAGGTGCAATAATGGTATTATAATGTAGGCAAATGTCTTCTTTTTTAAAAAAGATTTTATTTATTTATTTTTAGACAGAGGGGAAAGGAGGAAGAAAGGGAGAGAAACCTCAACGTGTGGTTGCCTGTTGTGTGCCCCTCACTGGGGACCTGGCTGGCAACCCAGGCACGTGCCCTGACTGGGAATCAAACTAGCAGCCTTTCTGTTTGCAGGCCAGTGCTCAATCTGCTGAGCCACACCAGCCAGGGCAAATGTTTTATTCTTAGGAAATGCATGGTGCAGTATTTATTTAGAAGTGAAGTGTCAGAATGTCTGATGATTTACTTTCAAATGCTTCCACAATGCATACTTACTGAAAGACATATTCAATATGGCAAACCATTCAAGTTAGTGAATCTAGATGGAGAGTACATGTAGTATTTTTTCAACTTGTAGATTTGAGTATTTTCAAAATAGACATTTGGGGAAAAGTCATGCTAGGCAACTGGATTCAAGGATAACAGTAGCTATTTATGTAAGCATATGATGTACGAGGCTCATTACATTTGCAACGCCCTCCCCCGCCCCGCCCCCAACAACCCCAGAGCCTAGCCTGCTCATAGTAAGCATTCGGTGCTTACCGAATGTTAACAATGAAGAAACCCATCTCAGACAGATGGAGTTACTTGCTCACACAGCTACATAAGTGGCACAGCTGGACTCTGACCCCAGGTCTAACTCTTTCCAAGTCTGTGCTCTTTCTTTCAAAGCCTCTGCTCTTTCTGGAGTGATACTGACTCTCTATTTCGTAATATACTCCATTAACATCCAGCAAAGGAAGAGAATATACAGCTTGTTCTAGTAACCTGGTGTTGAATTTTTCCTTCTTTGAAAAGCAAGTCCCTACTGCAATCTTATCTTTGGTCTTATCAGTCTGAAAAGAAAACAATAGGATTGCAGTCAGTGACGTGACTCCAAACAGAATTAAACAGAAAAATAGGTTCTGAAAGCAAAGAAAGACGCTTTACCTTCTACCTCTTCCCAATCATCTTCACTTTCCTCCTCATCATCTCCTTCATGGCTGTCTTTGTCCATGGCAGCCTCTCTCTTTGGTTGGTGCACCTTCTTGCAGGCACTTGTAAAGTCCCTGTGCAAAGACCACAGGAAGGAAGATGAAGAAGATGCAAACATCCTAGTATTACACTTAAGTTAAATGGGATTTTAAGGACTCCTTTTATTTATGGAACATCTGTTGCAATTATTTAAAGATCATTTGTGAGCTCTGAGCCTCCTCTGCACCACCAGCATGGTTCTCAAGTTCTCACCAAGATGTGCTCTGATTAGTCTAAGATTAGATGTGCTACTGAAACAGAAAGAATACTATAAACTTACAGCCTAGGGATGTGTGAAGGAAAATATAGCTATGTCTGGAGAAATGGGACAGGAAAAGCTACAAGAAATCACAGTAATAATGTGAATTCTAAAAGTAAAAGCTGTGATATGTGTGTATATACAGTTGGACGCCAGAAAGAAGAGGGAATTTGCACTTGCTGATCCTACTACAGGCCAACTCGGAAGATTCCCCCCTGCTCACCCCAGGAAATATGATATAAGGAGACTGAAGGAGAACTGTAACTTCAAGATAAGCGGGGATGTGACTATATGTAGGTATGTCATAAATAACAACATAAACCTGGACATCTAGTTAGTTAAGTTGATAGCTACTTAGATAAGAGGCTAGCAAGACATCAGTTCAAGACTAAATAGTTGCTAATGTGTAATACTGACCTTCCTTGTCTTATGCTGGGGTTACTTCCCAACGAAACCATCCTAAATTGAAATTATCTTAAATCTGGCCCTGACTGGTGTGGCTCAGTGGGTTGGGCATCGGCTGGCAAAGCAAAAGGTTGCTGGTTCAAGTCGGCATCAGGGAACATGCCTGGCTTGCCCGATAGAGGGCGTGCGAGAAGCAACCAATGTTTCTCTCACACATTGATAATAATGTATCTCTCCCTTTCTTTCTCCTTCCCTTCCTCTCCCTCTAAAAATAAATAAATATTTTTTTTTTAAAAAAGAAAATATCTTAAGTCTGTAGATGGCTTCTGATCTGCATCTTCAAGATGGAAGAAAGCACTTCAGGCAGAAGGAGCATATAAGCACAACTCAGAAGTAGCCAAGTATGAGCATGTGCTGAGTGAATGATGGGAAGTTCAGCTGGGTGGGAGGAAAGTGTGCTCGAGGAGAGTAGTATGAGAGAAACCTGGAATGGCAGGTAAATATTTTTTATATGTAGGATCTCTAAGTAACAGAAAGAACACAGGACCAGGAGTTGAAGACCTAGGTCTCAGCTGGTTTTTCCCACTATCTGTGTAACCACAAATAAATCACTTTTCTGCAAGCTGTCACTGTCCTCATCTGAAAACTTTGGGAGGCAAAGTATTCAATCACTAAGATTCTTTCTAGCTGTAACTAGCAGTCTGAGCTCTATCTAGAAGAGCTTAAAGATCCAATCTTTTCCATGGATCCTAGCAACAAGCAAAAAGAACAGGTTTTATTAATCACACTTTCCTGACAGGAACAATCAAAACCTCTCACCTGAAATTTTCCGCATCACTGAAGTCTTCATCCTTTACAACCTTGAGGTTTTCGGATTTAACAGTTACCTTGGCCACTTTCTTTTTTGCTAGACCATCTGCTGGGCCCCCAGGATCATTGCAGCCCCTCTTCCTCTTTCCTTGTGAGGCTTTTGAGAGCAGATTCTCCTTCGGGGGTTTTTTATCTTCAAAGACATCTAGATGACCATATGGAACAGGTAAGGGACAAAAGAAACATGCAAGGGACAAGAAGAAGAGTGCCTGCAGAGTGGTTTCATGGGTAGGATCAGGAAAACTCCTCTTCTGTAACCTTCCTCCAAACCAAATCTTCATCACCAGCTCACCAAGTCACGTTCGGTCAAGAACCAGCTTTCAGCCTCTTCCCACCTTTAGTATGGTCTACACTCTGCACTCCCAGGAAAAACCATCTTCTTGTATCAGCATTTTATTCTACTCCTCGTAAGACTACAGAGAGGCTACCATATGACTTGAATAAAACCTAACTTCGAAATCTTAAATTCCTGTGAATATGCAGCAAGAAAAATACATCAACCCATTGACTAACCCCTTGCTTATTTACCGCCTAAGACTATTTATTTTAGGGATAACCCTCTCCTAGTGAAATGTTCCAAGTTCATAAACACAAGCAAGTTTTACCACAACCTTATTTCTACTAAAAGTATTTCCACTATATTTCAAAATCAAACTCTGGCCCAGGTTGGTGTGGCTCAGGAGGTTGGAGCATTGTCCCGTAGCCAAAATGTTGCGGGGCGGGTTCAATTCCCCATCAGGACGCGTGCCTGGGTTGTGGGTTTGATCCGAGGTGTGGGTGTGTGTGGGAGTCAACCAACTGATGCTTCCTTCTGGCATTGATGCTTCTCTCTCCTTTCCTCTCTACATAAAGCAACGAAGAGAAAAATGTCCTCTGTTCAAAACAAGTACTTTTTAAAACCTTTCCAAGCTAACCCAAATGGCACTTAGTACACCAACTATCTCAGCAAGCTTGATGCTGGAATAAGATAGTAGTGATTACCTCTACTTTCTTAATTATTTTTTTGTTAAAGACAAATATAAAAATACTTAAGATGTTGGTTTTAGTTAAATTAGGGTATCTAAAACTATGGTCTGCTTAATATATTAATTTTTAATGAATAAACAATTTATAAATACCTTAGCAGTAAAGGATTTTTTTCTATTTTGCAAATCCATTCATAAAAAAAGTCTTGAATCTGAAATAAATCATTTTCCTTTGCCTGACTCTGCCTCAATTAATTTTGGAAAACAGTAATACTCTCACCTAAACTGAGGTTCCAGAGGAGCTTCAAAATTAACCTAATGTAGCAAATGAATTCATTCCTTTCATTTATGGTTTGTCCTGCTGACTCTTTTGGGTTATTTCTATTCCCCAAGAATTTACTTTCGCATGGGAAAAAGACTCTCTCCTTTGAGCTAAATATTGGATTGGCCAAAAAGTTTGCTGAGTTTTTTCCATATGGTGGCTCTAGTAGTGCTTAGTTGTCCTGAACTTCATTCGAAACAATTTTGTTAGCCTGTATTGTGACAGCTGTCATATCGGTGTGCATTAAAAAAAAACTTGATCAAATTCAAAATTGGTGAATTTTTGTTTAGCTGTTTGAATACTGAAGATGAGAAGAAAATATGCAACATTTTCGGCACATTATGCTTTATTATTTCAAGAAAGGTAAAAATACAACTGAAGTGCAAAAAAGATTTGTGCAGTGTATGGAAAAGGTGCTGTGACTGATCAAAAGTGTCAAAAATGGTTTGCAAAGTTTCTTGGTACTACTGACATTTTGGTAAAATAATTCTTTGCTGTGAGGCTGTCTTATGCATTGGCAGACGTTTAGCAGCACCGCTGGCCTCTACCACTAGAAGCCAATAGCGGGAGATAGCCAACATACTCAAAATATCCAAATCAATAAAGTATTTGGTGAAAATGAAAAATGTGCCTTTTATCTTATGGAAAAAAACTAAACAGACTTTTTGGCCAACCCAATAAAGTGATAACTTAATTTTAATAAACTTTACATTATAAGGGCATTTGTTTCAATGCTAGGTAAAAATCACTGATTCAGTTCTGCTTCTTTCAAATGTTTTATAGAAGGAATTTATGCGTTCCCATGGTTTAAACATTTCAATGGAAACACAAAATATTCCAAAATTAGTTATGTTATATAGAATCTAAAAACAGATTTCCTATTCCATGCCAGAAGCTGTTTAAAGGTTTATGACTTAACAGTTCTGTATCTTACAATGGTCTTTGGCTCTTTGCTAATAAGCAGAAGCAAAATACTTCATTTTTACTGATCTAAAAATGCAGGTGGGAGGATACTTCAGAGGCACCGTTTCTTTCTCCAACTTATTTGGTTGCTTAAAAGGTACAGCTGTATACTTTCAGGCTTTGAAGAGAGGAGTAGAAGAGTTAAAAGTGGGGAAAGGGGGACAAAAAACTGATTCAAATAATATTCATACTATTGTTATTCATAACTAAAAATTACAATAATCTAAATGTCTAACTATGAGATAATCATTAATTCCAGTACAGTCACACAGTGAAATATAATTATCTTTTAAGACAAAGGAAAATGATTTAGGACAAAACGTTAAGCATGCAAAGTTGTTTTTATAATATGGTTTCTATTATACAAAACAACACAAACTAGAAGGAAATACACTGGGTTGGCCAGAAAGCTCGTTTGGCTTTTCTCCATAAGGTGGCTCTAGTAGTGCTTAGTTGTCTTTAACTTCATTTGAAACAATTTTGTTAGATTGTCATGTAAGTGTGCGCTACAAAAACGCTTATTAAAATTGGTGAATTTTTGTGTAGCTTTTTTAATACTGAAGATGGAAGAAAATACACAGTATTTTTGGCATATTATGCTTTATTATTTCAAGAAAGGTAAAAACAACTGAAATGCAAAACAAGATTTGTGCAGTACATGAAGAAGGTGCTGGACTGACTGATGTCAAAAATAGTTTGAGAAGTTTCGTGCTGGAGATTTGTCACTGGATAATGAGCCACTGCTGTGTAGACCATTTGAAGTTGACAGCAATCAAATCCAGATGCTAACTGCAAGCAATCAACATTATACCGTGTAGGAGACAGCTGACATACTCAAAATATCCAAATCAATAAAGTTACTGGTGAAAATGAAAAATGTCTTTTATTTTACGGAAAAAAACCTAACAGACTTTTGGGCCAACCCAATACCATTATTTAGTGATGGTTATTTCTGCATGGTAGAAATAGGGATGATTTTCTTCTCTATTCTTTGTGGGGGTTTTTTGGTCCCAGAGAATCTAGAGGCTATTTTCCAGGACTCCCCATGACCTAGGGCTATCTAATATGGATAACCTGCCCCCATGAACTCAATGTGGTTCGTTTAGCAAGGCAGGAATTACCAGTGTGGTGTGCTTGGCCATCGGTGGAGATTTAATAAGAATACCTGCTTACATGCGCCAGCTGCATCTCATAGCACTTAGAATAAAATACAAACTCCTTAGCTTGCTCACCAAACTAAGGGCTATGCCCACCTCTCTCACCTTAATTCCTGCTACTCACCCTTGTATCTATGATCTAGACAACTGGCCAAGCTCATTCCCTCCAAGAGTCTTTATTTTTATTTATTTATTTGTTTGTTTATATAATTCTTTTTAAATTGAATTTATTGGACATTGGTTATTAAAGTTACATAGGTTTCACGTGTATAATTCTATAACACATCACCTGTATATTGTATCATATTTTTATCCTAAGAGCCTTTAAACGTTCCCTCTGCTTAGATCTCTTTTCCCCCAAAGCTTCCTAGGAATGGCTTCTTCAAGATATTCAGTGACTGGCTCAAAAATGTCACCTCTTCACAGAAGCCTTCTCTGACCATTGATCCTGACTTGGCTGCCTTTTCCCAAGCCTCATGTCAGTTTTATCTCAGTAACCTATTTTACTTTCTTCATAGCTCTTATCACCACGGGAATTTATTTTTAACTTCTTACTGTCTGTCCTACCTACCCCTCCCCAAAGATTATAAGCTTCATGAGATGTAAGAACCTTGCCTGTCTTGTTCATTACTATAATTTCATTGCATGCACTGAGGTATTGTAGTGTAGACTATTGTGCTATTAGAAACAACAGTCCAAACCACAACCATAACAAAGGTTCTAGCTCTTCAGACCCTGGAAGCTGCTTTGGGAAATAACTGCTAGCTCCCTTGGCTAGCAGAGTGTTGTTTGTCCTGCCCCCCCAACCCCCACACCTGGGGACATTTTTTTTCATTGCTTTTAAAGAGAGAGCAAGGGTGAGAGAAACACTGATTCGAGAGTAAAGCATCTACTGGCTCCTATATGCGCCCACACTGTCGATAGAACCCACAACCCAGGTACGTACGTGCCCTACCAGGAATTGAATCCGCAACCTTTCAGTTCTGGGACAATGCTTCAACGGAGCCACACCAGCCAAGGCTGGCTAGCAGAGTATGAGTTAAGCTTGGGTACATCCTTATCTATGTTTACACTGAATTGGTATGAGCTAGCCCAACTGACTACATAACAAGGACCATGCCGAGAACTTTATATGCTGTCTCACTGAAAAATCACAACCATTTTGCAAGGTAGTATTATGTTTCACAGACCAGGTTCAGAAAGGCTAAATTATCTGTCCAAATTAATTCACCCAAGTGCATATATTGACTGAGTGTGGAGCTATATATATCAAGCTGGTGCCTGGGTAAAGTGTTTAGCTGGAGGAAGTGCTACCCAAGCAGGCAACAGTTCCGTCAGATTAAAACTTTTAATTTTTTAATTGCCACACATTCAGAATACATTCCTTCTGGCTAGAATACCAACCCCACGCTCACAGCCTCCTTAAAGCCACAGATCAAACAACTCCTTCAGAGAGCATTTCCCAATATTATCTTCAGACACACTTGATTATTCCTTTGGAAGCCACAAAGCCATGTAACTTCTCCCATGACACCGCACTCTGCCTTGGATATTTTTGTGAATGTCAACAGTATAATACTTTAAGCTCCTCCAAGAAATCTCAATCTTCCATGTCACCTAGTTGGTACTCTGAAAATAGTCAAATGTTGCACCCCTGCTGGTTACCTAGTCTAATCTATTACCTAGTTATTTCACAAATCCCTCTACAGCATGCATTTTGCAATTATTAAAAATATTTATTGAGCCCTGGCTGGTGTGGGTCAGTGGATTGAGTGCTGGCCTGTGAACCCAAGTGTCCGGGTTTTGATTCCCAGGCTAGGGCACAAGCCTGGATTGCACGCCAGGTCCCTAGTAGGACGCGTGCAAGAAGCAACCACACATTGTTTCCCCTTCTCCCTCCCTTCCCCTCTCTAAAAATAAATACTTAAAAAAAATTTATTGAGCACTTAGTATATGTGGTAGGAGACAAGAGAGGATATAGCAAAAAATAAGATGTTTTCATGAAGCTTAAATTCTAGTACGAGGGGCAATCTAAAAGAAAGCAAATAAAATAACAAGATCATTGAGGTAGCAACAGCCAAATCATGTAGGGCCTTGTAGGATATGATAAGGAGTTTGGATTTTATGTCAAAAGCAACGGGAAGCCACAGAAAGGTTGAAATAGGAGCATGTTATGATTTTTTTTTTTTTTTTTAAGATCATCACTTGCTTGGGCTGCTGGGTGAATTATTGCAGGGGGAGGAACGGGAGTAGGGAGACCCGTAAAGGGGCCATTGCGGTTGTTCAACTAAAAAATGATGGCTTGGGCAAGGGAAGGGGTCATGGAAATAAATAGAAGTGGAGAGATTTGAACTAGAGGTCTGAGGCTGAAGTGACAAGACTTGCTGACCGACTGGATATTTGTGTTTAAGTAAAGAGGTGTTTGCTTTAACTAATAGGTGAAGGGATCATTTACTGAGATGGGAAAAAGTGGGGAACAGGCAAATTCAAAGGGGAAAAACCAAGAGTTTTGCTTTGCCCATGACTAACATAAGAAGCCTATTTGATATCCACGTAGTCAGGCTGGATCCAAATCTGAAACTATGGGGTAAACTAGGGGGTGAGATTTAGCTAAAGATAATATTCTGGGAGTCAACACAATAAACAGCACTGTTTGTCCTGGTCCACTGTCTTCTGGGGACACAAAGTAACTGCAATGTCTCTTCCTTACTCAGCCCTTTGCATCTACCAGGAGGTTTGGCTTTATGTTGTGGGCAACAAGGAGCAGGAGAGGCTACGCAGAGGGTGTTCGTGGTTAGTTTGGGTTTCAGTTGAACCGCTCAAAGCGCAACGCTCCTCGCGTGAGGACAGAGGCAGAGCATACTCGGGGAGGACCCGGAAGCAGCAAAAATACCTGCCTCCGGCAACGTCGTCTCCGCGAAGTTGCGCGGAGAGCAGTCTCCGCCCCGCAACTCCACGGGATGGAATTACCAGCTCCCCGCACCCCGGCACTCGGGGCCTGCTGGCGGATCTCCTTCAGCATCTCCCCTAAGCCCGGCTTGGCCTCGCTCTCACCTGCCTCCTTCTCCTCACGCCGGGCCGTGCTCCTGCCTTTGGTCTTCTGGCTGCGCGGTTCGTGTCCCCGCGGCTCCTTGGCGGCCGCCCGCTTCCGGGCCATCACGCCCGGGTAAGACTACTTTCTCGATTGACCCAGGAGACCGCGGGAAGTTGCACGAGGTGGCTACGCCCCAAGGTGGGAAGATGTCTGACCACGCCCCTGCTTTTTTTACACCAACCCCACGCCCCAAGCTGAAGCTCCGCCCCAAATAACCAAATACAAACCGCTGGAAGCTAGAAGGGGCAGAACACCTTATTTTTACTTCCGGTGCATTGCGTTCTCAGTGTTTCCGGAGGTTGGAGAGGCTCGAGTGATAACGCGAGAGTCGGGAAAGGGCGCAGGGTTTGAAACATGGCGGACGACGTGGACCAGGTGAGTGTTTATTGAGGAGCTCGTGAATAGCGGCATCCTCACGCCAACTGGCCCTGTTCGGCTCTGCATACCAGGGCTGCTTTCTGTAAGCTTATAGGAAGATAGGCTGTCATGCCGCCTGTCTCTGGGTCGTCAGGGCCTTGAATTTTGCCTGAGGCCGTGAAGTCTGTTGGAAGTCCGCCTGAAAACTAGTTTCTCCGCCCGCTCTTTCTCTTCTCTGAGTTTCACATTTATGTATAGGGTGCGAATAATTATTTTTACCTTCCTCACAGAACTGTCGGGATTCTAAAAGAAAGCGTGATGATAAAGTTAAGGAGTTTGATCATTACTGAGCGCAACCATTATTATTCTTTCGACAGATACTTTGTGAACATCAGCTTTGTATGGTTAAACACGATTCTAAGCACCAGGGACATCGAGATTGTCCCCATTCGGAGATTGTGTTATGGAGAAGGATAAATAAAAAATGAACATAAATATGTGCGATATATAGGAACTGTGATGTGGTATGAAGGAAACAAACAGGGAGCTGGTTTACAAAAGAACTGGTAGTCCTACAGGCTTTCTCACGCACTCTCCCTTCATCCCAAAATACTCTTCCTCAGGTATTGTTGTGGATCAGGCCACAACTTCTACTGAAATCTCATCTCATCAAAGAGGACTTCTTTGGCCTCCTACATAAAATAGCACTCTCCACAGTCTGCACCCCCCACCCCCGCCATAACATGTTATTTGTTCGTATTACAAGCTTTGTTTAATGTCTGTCTCCTGTACCCCCCAACTCCCCGCCTATATGAATTTCTTAAGAGCAGGAGGTTTTGTTCACTCGTCTGCTCTTGGGATTTAGAACACTGCTGGAAACACTCAACACATTTATTGAGTGAATTAATTGGATGATCAGGGAGGCCTCTTTGAAAAGGTAATATTTAAGGCTACAGATTGAAAGGGCATCCCAGTTGAGTCTGGCATCCCAGACTGAGGCTAAAGGAGCAGTAGGCCTCTGTCATACGTATATTACAGCATTATAATTATTTATATGCCTCCTTGGACTAGAATGAGCTCCTTGAGAGCAGGGAGTGACTTCTGTATCGTTGTAACTTAGTTGTTAGTTGGGCCTTAACAAACACCTGTTGAACTAGGGATGGGGACCAGTTGAGTCCAAGGTTTGTTTGTTTTTTTTTCTCTCCTCTCATCTAGCCTTTTATGGCTGCAGAGCCTGTAATGTTTAGTCACCTTCCTCCACTGGCTTTCTATACTCACTGAAGAGGCTCTCCCTGAATAATTTTATCAACTCTGCTGGCTTCAGCCATCCCTTCCACATGGATGACCCCAAGCCATCCTGGCCCTGATCTCTCTGACACCTGTTTCTGAGGATTCTTTAATCTAAACAATGACAACCATTTATACGTACTTTCTTTTTGCCAGGTACTATTTGAAATACATTATATACATTAGCTAATTTAATCCTCATAAGAATCATGAAAGGAAGATGGTGGCTTCCTCATTTCATAGCCAAGACAGCTCAGAACTAGAGATGGCATAATTTTTAATCTCAGTTTGTAAGTTTGAGAGTCAGGCTTTGCCCTCATATTGCCCGGCTCCAAAACCAGTGCTTTTGGCCAGGATTCTGTACTGCCTGATGAATTTATTTTTCTTACTGGCCATCGGGCACCCTAAAGCAGCCTGTCTTGTACTGAACTCATGATCTTCCCTTAAACCTTCATCTCTGCTTAGCATGCTGACTACTGTGTAGTAGTCATTAAGTGAATGTATTTCAAATTACTAAATGATATTTGACATAGGCTAACATCCCTGAGAGTGACTCCCTATACCATTAAGTTGGGTCAGGAAGTTTGGATTTTTAGGGAACAAAGTACAGTCATTATATTGCTGTATAACTTATTAGCCCTCATTTGTATAGCATTTACTTTGTGCTAGGTACTTTTCTAAATGTTAATATATGTCATTTAAGCCTCACAAACAGTATTGGGTATGTACTATTGTAATCCACATTTTACAAATTATGAGGTGACTAAACAGAGGAGTTATGTTATTTGCCCACAGTCACACAGCATAGCATTGATTTGAGCACTACCTTCTCTCTAGTAATTATATTACTAAGCCTGTTTCTTTTATCAGCAACAAACTACCAATACTGTAGAAGAGCCCCTGGATCTTATCAGGCTCAGCCTGGATGAACGAATTTATGTGAAAATGAGAAATGACAGAGAGCTTCGAGGTAGATTACATGTAAGTAAATTTATTAAATTACCTTGAAATCATTATTTTCTTGTCATCTCTCTATTCTCACTCCCTTCAAATGTAAAAAATGTTCACCATTGAAGTGCATTTTGAATGTAGAGGAGAGCGATGTGGAAGGTTGCCTGTATTTCTATAAGTCAAATCAAACTAATTTATTCATATTTTTAACATTTTTCTCTTAACAGAAATGATGTGTTTCTTTTATTTTTTCCTTCTGTTTATTTGCAAATAATGTTTCTTCATTCTTATTTAAGTGTTCTTTAAATTATTGACATGCATAAGTTTGTGTTTTCTTGTGAAAAATATTAAACAGCACAGAAGTACGTAGAGTAAATGTTGAAATCCCACTTCTTCTATATAGTTGGTAACCTCTATTAAAAATTGGGTGTTTGGTCTTTCAGATCTTTTCTGTATATTCACATACATATTTATATTTATGTCCATATGTATCTATTTGCACTATATATACCATCTCTAAAATAATAAATGGGACCTTGCTATAAATATTGTTAAGCACCTTTCTATTTCACTTAATCTTCCTTGGAAATCATTGATCATAAGTGCATATAAATCCTTATTGTTTTTAGTGCTTACATGGCATTTTTTATTTAAATCATTTTTTATTTTTTAATTACCATTGACATACAATATTAGTTTCAGATGTACACCATACCTAGTTATTAGAATATTATTGACTGTATTCCCTATGCCATACTTTACATCCCCATGACTATTCTGTAACAACCAATTTGAACTTAATCTTGTCACCTTTTTCATCCATTCCCCAAATTCCCCTCCCATCTTGCAGCTGTCAGAATGCTCTCTGTATATGAGTTGTTTTTGTTCTTCCTCTTTATTTTGTTTTTTAAGATTCATTTGTTGATAAGTATTTATTGCCATTTTATTGTTAACATTTGTGATCATTTTTTTTCTTCTTCTTAAAGAAGACTGACATTTCATGTATACTGGTTTGGTGGTGATTAACTCCTTTAATTTTCCTTGTCTAGGAAGCTCTTTATCTAAATGATAGTTTTGCTGGGTAGAGTAATCTTGGTCGTAGGTCCTTGCTTTCCATCATTTTGGATATTTCTTGCCAATCCCTTCTGGCCTACAAAGTTTTTGTTGAGAAATCAGCTGCCAGTCTTATGGGAGCTCTTGTGTTGGTAAATAACTGCTTTTCTGTTGCTGCTTTTAAGATTCTCTCTTTGTCTTTAACTTTTGCATTTTAATTATGATGTATTTTGGTGGGGACTCTTCGTACTCCTTGGACTTGTATGTCTATTTTCATCACCATGTTAGGCAAGTTTTTTTGTCATTTTTTCAAATAAGTTTTCAACTTCTTGCTCTCTTCTCCTTCTGGCATCCCAATGATGTGAATGTTAGTATGCCTGAAGTTGTCCCAAAGGCTCCCTGCACTATCCTCATTTTTCTTTTTTTTGGGATTTTTTTTTCTTTTTGCTGCTTCAGGTGTTTTTGCTTCTTTATATAACTGATTTGATTCTCAGCTTCATCTCTTCTATTGTTGATTTTCTGTAAACTATTCTTCATTTCAGGTAGTATAATCTTCATTTCCGACTGATTCTTTTTTATGGTTTCAGTGTCCTTTTTTATGATATTGAAGTTCTGAGTTCAACTACTCTTCCCCTAAGTTCACTGAGCACCTTTATAACCAGTGTTTTGAACTCTGCATCTAATCGATTGCTTGTCTCTGTTTTATTTAGTTCTTTTTCTAGAGTTCTGTTCTTTTGGGCATTTTTCTTTGTCTCCTCATTTTGAAAACTTCTGGTGTTTTTTCTATGTGTTAGGTAGAGCTGCTCTGTCTCCCAGGCTTGGTAGAGCAGCCTAATGCAGTAGGTGTCTACAGGATCCAGTGACACAGCCTCCTTGATCACCCAAACTGGGCACTCCAGTTGTTTCCCCCACCGTATGTGGGCTGTATACCCCTTCCTCTTGTAGTTGAGCCTTGATTGCTCATCAGTGGGAGAGATTTACCCCCAGGTTGATTAGCTGCAAGGACTGGCTCGAGGGGTCTGCCCCACAGAGCAGGACTTACTTCAGCGCGGCTCTGGTGCCTGCTGAGTCTGCCCTGTGAGTGTGTGGTTGGGTGGTGTTTCAACATGGTCTGAAGCTGTCCACCGGGAGTGCTGGCTCTGGCGCCTCCAAGGAGGTTGAGGTGAAGGTCCGCAGCCACCTGTGTTCTGCCCCAGGCCATCTGGCATGAGCTACATGGTGATCTGCACCTGGCTGCTAGTTGTGCGGGGCTCGCAGGTGACCAGGAGAGACCAAGCTGCAAACCATGGCCGGTTGCTACTAGTGCCAAGCCTGGGGCCATTTAGTGAAAGGGACAGGGCAGCTGAGGCCAGATAGCGCTTGTTTGAGAGATTTTAGGAAAGTCTGAAGCATGAGCCAAGACAGGCCATTTGTATGGAAAAGCCACTGGAAACAGCTTGGGTGGGCCCCCAAGTTTGGTGGGTTGGGGCCTCAGGGAATCAACAGGGCAGGGCAAACAGTGTGAGCCAGGTTGATGGAGTCTCACATATGGC